AGGGTCAGAGGGCAAGGGACAGGGCTGGGGTACAGACGGGGGAGGAGGTAAAGGTGGGTGCAGGAGGTGAGAAGGAGGCGGTGAAGGCGGGGTGCAGGAGGGAGGAGGAGGTGAAGGCGGGGTGCAGGAGGGACGGGGAGATGAAGGCGGGGTGCAGGAGGGGGAGGTGACGGCGGGGTGCAGGAGGGACAGGGAGATGAAGGCGGGGTGCAGGAGGGACGGGGAGATGAAGGCGGGGTGCAGGAGGGGGAGATGAAGGCGGGGTGCAGGAGGAGGAGGTGAAGGCGGGGTGCAGGAGGGGGAGGTCCTGTGGTTGGAGCCCAGGAGATGCTCTGGGGTGAAGCCCCGGGAGCCCAGGAGCTGTTCTGTCAACAGCGTGGGCCCAGAACCCCCGAGGCCCGGCGTCCGTGCCCCTCCCTCTGCGGACCTGACCTCTGCCGCGTCTGAGGGGCAGGGCCTGGGCAGAGGGCTGTGTGCACCCCAGGCCTCATGGGTCTGTCAGCGGCTCCCTGGTCGGCACAGCCCTGGTGCAGCCCTGTCCCCGAATCTGGACCGCCTGCTCCTCTGCCAGGCGTCCGGGAGCCCTGGTGGGCTCGCGTGACCTCAGCTGGGGGGCAGGAGCTCCGATGAGGCCCAGCGTGGCCCCTCTGTTTGCTTCCCTGGGTGTGCCCTTCAGGCCTTTAGGATTGACCTTGGGAAACCCCACGCATCTAGGAGACACGGTCAGGCTGAGGAGCAGAGGAACCTGAGCCGTGTCCCTTGGGGGGGGTTTCAACAGGGCTGGGAGGCTGCGGCATGGGGCACAGCCAGGGGTCCCACCCCCGCAGCTGGCCCGGGCGCTCCTACATAGGTTCCACGTATGCAGCCACATGCACGCGCAGGTAGGACTCAGGCTCTCCACGCCCTCAGGGCTGGGCAGGTGGCTCACTCTGAGGACAGGTGCCTTCCTGGCTCCTGTGTGCCGAAGGCGTGGGCAGCCCACCACCCGGGGGCGGGACATGGGTCCTGGTGTGAGCACAGCAAGGGGAGCCCCGTCTGGTCGCAGTCCCTGTCCTGGGAGGCAAGGCATCAGCCACTCAGACGCTTGGGGCCGAGACTCAGCCCATGGCTCCCGGGCACGGCGGGCTCCACACTGCAGAGCCCAGGGCCGCTTGAGACCCCTGCTGTCTCTGTCCTGGGGGATGCGATGAGTGGGCCATGGGGGCCCCAGCCCAGCAAGGGGTTGCGGTCACAACAGTCACACCAGCCTGTGGCAGCCCCTGGGGCCCCTACACAGAGCAGGTGCAGGCAGGGCCCATGCCCACATGGCTGGCTGGGCACCTCGGGAGAGGGCAACGGGGTGCTCAGGCCTTGTCCCTGGAAGGGGAGGTGGATGGGGTCCCGGGCGGGGTCCTGGGGTCCCAGGAGAGGCTGCAGGGAGCCCGTTTGGAGCTGTTCTCATCTGGCCGTGCGACGGGGGTGGTGTTGGGCGGTATGTGCACATCCTGATCGATGGGGTCTGAGGTCACGCTTGTTCCAAGTGGCAGCCGTGGCAGAAGCATCTCGGCCTCGTGGGAGCCACGGCCGCGGAGCCACAGCCTCTAACTGGTGGAAGAGAGCCCGCTCTGTTTGCAGGCGGTTGCCATGGCTCTGCGGGCGGCGGCGCCAGCCCGGGGTATCTGCAGGCTTTGTTTAGGTCCTGTTGCCACGGCAGCGCTTGTTTGTTTTGATGTTACTATGTGTTAGATTTTAAACAAATTTCTTGCAGCTCCACACCAGGTCTTGATTGAACGCTATTGTTACTAAGACAAAGCCTGCTGCACCCTCTCTGCCCCAAGGGGCCGACCACGGTCGGTCTGAAATATTAATTAATCCAGACTCGGTGTGCCCAGCACGAGTAGCACCTGACAGCCCCATGTGGGGAAGCGTGGACGGCGGCGCCCTCTGCACCCTGCCCGCGTGCTCGGGTCGGGCGCAGCTGGAGGGCCCGCGGAAGGCGGGCAGGGGCGGCCGCTGCTTCGGGGTTGCCGCGTGGTCAGAGTGGGGGCCGTGTTTCCTGCAACGTGATGCCAGCGTCTGGGTCTCAGGTTAGGAAGCAGCAGCTTGGCGGGGCTCCTTGGGGCCTGTCGGCCACGGCCTGTCTTGCCACACACCCCGTGGCCGCGGCCCGGACACGGTGGGACTTGTCCGAGGCAGGAAGCGGGAGTAACAGGCCGCAGGAACTCGGCACAGAAAACGGTCCGGAGGGCAGGTGTTGCCCGCCGTGGGTCCAGCACGACTGTGGGGCAGGGGCGCCCGCGGGGAGGGGCGGGTGGGGCTGGCAGAGCTGCGTGCTGGCACGTCCCAGAGACCCCAGGGACAGGGGCTCCCCTGTGCCGGGCCTGCTCCGGGCCCACGCTGTCCAGGCAGGGGGAAGTGAGGGCGGGCGTTCAGGGCCGGCGGCCGTGTCAGGACGGCCACGTGGCCGAGGCCTTCTCTGTGGGCCCTCCTGGCCCGAGGCCGTGCGGGGACTCGGCGGCGGGCAGCCCGGTGCGCCTGCAGTCGCAGCTCCTGGCCCGCTGGCTCCTCACTGGGTTAACGTGGATGTTGGGAGAGCATGACCTTCCCCAAACGCTCAGAAACGGTTTCAGTGACCTCAGTGGGTCTGTTTCATAGCCCACCCCCTGCCACAGCCAGGATGGCAATTAGGGGTGCAGGTTGTGGCGGGGGGGGGTGGCTGCAGCGCCCAGGGACCCCGTCCCCCAGGCCCTGCGTGAAGCACGCACGCTAGGGTGGCTTTTTCCTGCTTGAGGGAAGAGCTGGGGCACAGCTGCCCTTCGGGCGGGTCAGGCCTCCGTGCGGCCCCTCGCGCCCCACAGCGCCATGCTGTTCCCTGGGCCCTGAAAGGCGGGTTGGTCAGCAGCACTGGGGAGCCTCGGGCAGGAGCGGGGGGGGGTCGCTGTCTGCCAGAAAGGTCTGGAGCGGGGAGGGGGGGCGCTGTCTGCCAGAAAGGTCTGACTTCAGGTGGTGGTCCTCCTTTTTTTTTTTTTAAGTTTATTTATTTTTGACAGAGAGACAGAGGGAGGGCGGGCACAGGGGAGAGGCAGAGAGAGAACAGAGGCTCCAAAGCAGGCTCTGCTCTGTCAACACAGCCTGACGCCGGGCTCTAACTCATGAACCGTGAAACCATGATCCGAGCTGAAGTCAGACACTTAACCGACCGAGTCCCCCAGGCGCCCCGATCGGCGGTCCCCTGGGCACCGCGTGCGGTTGGAGCGGCTGGTCTGGCCTGGGAGCTGCTCCCGGTCAAGCGCGACGTGAGGGCATCGCCACGTCACAGCCACGACGGAAGCTCCCCCGGGACTCCCCCCTCCTGCCGGCCCAAGGGAATGTCCCACAGGCCCCTCCTTCTCACCGGGCCTCCTCAGGGCCTTCAGCGGCCCCTCGACCCCCACTTCCGGCCGGCACTGGCGTCCTGGCCAGCCAGGCCGCTGCTGGTCAGGGGAGGCCGGGAGAGCCAGCAGCTTTCTCCCACCCCCGAGCGGCACGGTCTCTGTGACGACCCAGCACGCTGGCTGGGAGTGCCATCGGTCCTGATTCATAGACGTACTGGCACATTTCGGCCCGAAGCCCGGAAGCCTTCCTGGTGGTGGCCCTGGAGGCACGCACGCCTGTCTCTGGGGGGCTGCACTGGCCCCCTGCCAGCTCCAGTGTCCCCAGGGTGACCTTCAGCACCGGCAGGGGTCAGCCCGCTGCCCACCCTGAGTTGGGTCTGGAGGCCTGGGGGACGCAGGGCTTGGGGAGCAAAGTGAAATCCCAGCTCACGGGGCCTTGTGTGTGACCAGTGACCCCACTGCTCGCAGGCAGGGCGCTGGCCAGCCCGGCCTGGAGCTGGGAGAAGAGGGGGTTTCGGGGTGGGGACCCCCTCCAGCTCTGCGGACTCTGGAGAACAGGCTCACTCTGTGTCCAGAGAGCAGTGTAATGTGATCAGTGTCTCTGGGGAAGAGACGGGCATTGTCATTCTAGAACTTGCCACGGAGGGCTCTCTGCAGCAGGGCGCCGGGTCCCCTGGGGAGAACTCCCTGCTCGGCAGTTACGGTGGGGACGCCCGGCGCCGCCAAGTGGGGCGGCCGAGTCGGCCTTGGGCCCGTGTCCACCAGATCTGAATGTGGGCCTCTGACGGGAGCCCCCGTCAGCCACCCCCCACCCCCAGCTCAAGTGACTCACACTGGTGGTGCCTGGTGCCGCGGTGCCCAGAGAGGGCTGCGTGCTCCGGCGGCCGGTCACCCGGCTGGCCGTCAGGCCTGGCATCCACATGCCACCCGGGAGGGCGTGACTAGGAGACAGGAGTGCCTTTGATGGCCCAGGACAAACACGCAGGGCCCTGACCGGGCAGCAGGGCAGGGACCTCCACACAGGGCAGCAGCAGTGGGGACCCCCACGCGGGGCAGCGGGGCGGGGACCCCCACGCGGGGCAGCGGCAGTGGGGACCCCCACGCGGGGCAGCGGGGCTGGGACCCCCACGCGGGGCAGCGGGGCGGGGACCTCGCTCCCCGGCTGGTTTGCTCAGAGGCTGGGGCGCGTCAAGGCCGACTGCTTCAGGGGCAAAACCCGCTGCCCACCCCGGGTCTCAGGAGGCCCTGCTGTGTGGTCGTGGTGGGGACCAGCGTCCTAGGACAGAAGGGGCACCGGTGCTCCGAGTGCAGGCCCCCCGGAGGCACAGGCTGCCCAGTCCCACTCCCCGCCTGCAGCCCCCCAGCCCCACTCCCCCCCCCGCCTACAGCCCCCCAGCCCCACTCCCCGCCTGCAGCCCTCCAGCCCCACTCCCCCCTCCCCCGCCTGCAGCCCCCCAGCCCCCCCCCCACCTGCAGGCTGCCACATGGCATGTCAGGTGCCTCTGAGGCCCTGTGTGTGATGCCCGTCCGTCCACTGCCGAAGGACACCTGGCCACGGGGTTTACACGGGACTGTGGCGTGTCCATCCCGCGTCGAGCCTGGGCTTGGGGGCTCGGAGCCGTAACTGCCAAGCTGCGTCCCCGAGTGACACCATGTCAGAGCGCCCGGCTGCCCGCCGCCTCCCGCTGTGGCCATCTCACTTCAGCCACGCTGGCCCAGCGGTCGGGCAGGACTCCCCACGTGGGGTGGCGCTCAGTGCACTCCGTGTTGGCCACCCGGAGGGCTTCCTGGACAGTGTCTGGTGCAGACATTTTGCCCAATTTTCTGTACTGGGTTTCTTCCTGTCGAGGTTGAGAAGCTGCCTCTTTCTGGCGTGTGCACGTGCTTTCTCCCCAGCTGTGGCTTGTGGCCTTCGTGCAGCATCTTTCAAGGGCGTGGCTTTTAAATTTTTGGTGAATTCCAGTTCCTTTTTGTTTCTTTTATGGACTTTGTTGGTGTTTCTACGAAATCTTGGCTTCACCCAAGGTCACCAGGTTTTCCTCTTAGGTGTCCTTGCAGAAGTTTAGAACGTAGGCCGGTGGCGCAGAGTCCGTCTCTCGGTGCTGCGATCAGCACCTGGTGGAGACGCGGCCCCTTCTCGGCTGGGCTGCCTGCGCGCCCCTTTGTGGAAACCCTCCCGTGGCTTCGTGGGGCTGTTCTGGGCCGTCTGGTGCACGTCTGCAGGGCCGTCGCGCCCGTGCCCAGGCCGCTGCTCCGACAGGGTGTCCCTGTGCTCGATCTAGAACACTGACCCTCAGTGCATTAGCAGGAGACCCAGCCAAAGTGGCAAAAATGGTTTTTAGTTAAAATTATAAAAGGTGCAGAGCCAGTTTAGAACCTTCCTGAAATCCTGTGAGTGGCTTGTGGTGGCGAATGGACAGGGCTGCACCTCCCCCTTGTGCCGCAGGCGGGCGGCTCTCAGGTGGAGACAGTGTGAGTCCCGGGTGGGGGGCCGGGCCCTGGGCCTGCCTCGCTGGGCCTTAGTAGGACCGTCGCCCAGGCCTGTCCCTATGTGCTGATGGGGACGTCAGGCCGCGGCGGCCCCAGGCAGGACTCGGCCTCTGTGCGGTTCAGATGGGATGAGTTTCTTGACTAGACTTCTTCCCTCCTGCTCTGAGTGGACACCACACGCGCCCCCTTTTAGAACCAGACAACAGCTTTGTTTTAATGTCCAGTTGTTCATAAAGGATGTGGTTCCTTTAAGCTTTTTTCCAAGACAATTTATATTTGCTGCTGTTGCCCGTGGCAACCGACTGTTGGGCATAAACAGTGCACACCAGGCCAGGGGAGGGGCATATTCTGTATTTTAACCTTAGATTTGATTTCTGCTGTGGGAGAGGCGGGGGTTCCCCAAGGTCACTGGGCCCCCACCAGGTTCCTGGGGAGGGACCCCTGATGTCACTGGTCCCTGGGTGGGGCACGGTTACCCCGATGTCACCAGGTCCCCAGAAAGGGACAGGGGTCCCCTGATGTCATCGGGTCCCTGGGCGGGGCCCAGGTTTCCCCAATGTAACCTGGTCTCCAGGCAGGGGTCCCCTGATGCCATCAGGTCCCTGGGAGGGGGGTCCCCCGACATCACCAGGTCCCCGGGTGGGGACAGGGTCTCCCCGATGTCACCTGGTCCCTGGGCAGGGGTCACCAATTGTCAGCAGGTTCTGGGGGCACTACTCTGTGGGGCTGTGTGTTATGGAGGGGAGTGGCCCTGGCCGGGCCCTGAGTGCTCTCTCTCTCAGAGGGAAATCCTGCCGGACCATCACATTTGAGCAGTTCAAGGAGGCGCTTGAAGAGCTCTCCAAGAAGAGATTCAAAGACAAGAGCAGCGAGGAGGCCGTCCGCGAGGTGCACAGGCTCATCGAGGGCAAGGCTCCCATCATCTCGGGGGTGACGGTGAGCACGGCTGGCAGGGAGAGGGGCAGCCCACAGAGTGTGGGGTGGGACAGCAGCAGTGTTCCTCCCCGGGGCGGGCTGGTCCCCTGCCCACGGCCTCGTGTCCTCACTGCGCCCCTTGGACTCACGCGGCCGCACTCCCTTCTCTCCCCCTACAGAAGGCCATCTCGTCGCCCACTGTATCCCGGCTCACAGACACGACCAAGTTCACGGGCTCCCACAAGGAACGCTTCGACCCATCAGGCAAGGGCAAGGGCAAGGCGGGCCGTGTGGACCTGGTGGACGAGTCTGGCTACGTGCCGGGCTACAAGCACGCGGGCACCTACGACCAGAAGGTGCAGGGTGGCAAGTAGCCAGCCCAGGGGCGCCCCTCCTGCTGGGGCCCGCGCCACCTCACACTTCGTTACATTCCTGTGCTCCCCGGGCAGAACTCAAGACTGGGGCCCGGGGGGGGCGGGGCCCGGGGGGGGCGGTCAGGCCTCGTCCTGCCCGGGCCTGGCGTGCTTCTCTCTGACCCCCAGGTGGGGCCCCCGAACTCACTGACCGTTTCTAACACACCTGCCTCGTCCAGTGCTGGCCAACAACAAATGGCCTTTTCCAGAGCGTCTCCTGGGACCAGACCACACTAGCCACCTGACTTACAGGCAAAAGGCGCCTTTGAAAGAGGCCGGTGGGCCACGGGGGGTGAGCGGGACAGACCCTGTCAGAGGTGTGCCACCCCCCGACCTGCAGACCCCTCCCCGGAGCTGCAGGGGCAGCACGAGCTAACACACTAACCAGCAGCACCAAGAAACGGAAGTGAGCTGCTAACAGGACACTGTGCGGGTGTCGGGAAGTGGGACAGGCGCTTGCACGTGCACACACACACACGCACATTCACGCACATGCTTGCACGCGCACGCTCACCCACCCACACGCACACCACCCAGGCTTGCACATGCAACATGCTCGCACACACTCACGCACAAGGACACACGCGCACACACTTGCACACCCACACGTACACACGTCTTGTAACCGGAGGCTGGTGAGCGAGGGAGGAAGGTGAGTGAGTGAAAGGAGCTCCTCAGTGACCAACGGAGCTCGGTTTGAAGCGCAGAGCTTGAAGCTGTCGAAATGGACGCTGAGGACAAGGCAGTTCACCGGGTTTTCCTGACAAGAAACTGGAAACGAGTTTGTTCCGGGAACGGGTCAGCGAAGATTGAGAAACCGTTTCTGCCCTTGTCCCTGCCCTGCGTGTCTCCAGGTCAGGAGGCCCTGCTGGCTGAGGCTTCCGCGCGGTCGCTTTGCTGGCGCGACGGGCTCTTCTGTTCGGGGCCCCCTCTGCACTCAGGTCCTCTGGGCTGCGGGTCCCCGCGGCTCTTCCCCGTTGCCGGCACGTGGCTCAGACCTCCGTGGCTCAGCCTCGGCACGAGCGGTCCCTAACCTCTCCCCTCTCCCAGCAGCCGCGAACGCAGAGAAAACCACAGCAGAGGCAGGCCCGCGAAGCGCCCCCAGGCCAGCGGCGTTTGTCGCCATTTGGTTTCTCCACGAGGCTGGATGGGGGAGCCGAACACTGGGGCTCTTGTCACAGTGGCTCCTGGGGCCGTGTCCCTTTGAGAAGTGCAGCCAAGCCTGGCAAGAGACTGTGGGGCCACGGGGTCCTGGCGCTGCTCCTGGGAAAAGCCCACAGGAGCCTCAGGAAGATGCTGCTTGGGGCCCGTCCATCCTGGCCACTGCTGCGTCCATGGCAGCGGGTGGTTGGGGGCACCTTCTCCTGGGCACCCCCGGCCCGCAGCACAGCTGGCTGAAATAAAGACCAGCACCGGGCAGGCACACACACCCGCCTCCCTGTGCCCAAAGGGCACGCTGGCCGTCCCTAAAGCCGGGGATGGTCCCTTGTCTGTGCAGCGGGGCTTGGGGCCCGCGCTCCCATCCGGCATGGCCCCTCCCTCGCCCCATGGCGAGGCCTCAACCCACGGCTGGCGGTGGCCTTGCCAGCAGCTTCTTCCGAGGCGCTGAGACTTCCCGGCGCGTTAGGTCGGAGCTGGGCTGCAGGCTTTGAGTTGCTTGTAGGACAGTCTCACTGCGGTCTCCGGTTTCTACCTCGGCAATCCCAACCGCCGGCCAGGCCTCTCCGCTCCGTGGTGCGGAAGGCAGGGAAACTGAGGACCGAGTGCTGGAGGAAGGGCAGGCAGGCGGGACATGGGACGCCCAGGCTGGACCCTTGTGAGGGTCCAGAGGCAAGGGGACATCGTGGGGAACGTGTCTGAAGGCAACTCTGAACGTGACCAGTGTTTCGCAACAAGTGGATCCCAAACCAGACCTCCTCCCAGATCCCGTCAGGCTCCACGCTGGGGGCACCCACCGTCTGAGGCGATGGGGCTCTGCCTCCTGCCATTAACCCCTGGGTGCCCCCTGTCGCAGCCATGACACAGCACGGACACTGGAATCCAGCAGGACCTTGGCCCCCACAGAGCGCACGCCCCATGAGCAGAGGGATGAGGGTCCCCGTGGCTCAGCCTGTACAGGGAACAGACCCCCCTCCCACTGGGCCTCCTCAGCCTCCCCCACCCCGGAGGCCATCTCCGGTGCCAGAGTGCGGTTCTCCAGGCAAAACAGCTTCCCCAGGACCACCCTGGGAGGCTGGGGTGTAAGCAAGGGAAACCACACATCTTCCTGCCCCCGGGGACCCCCGCCGTGACGCCTTCCCCAGAGCGCGAGCCCCCTTCTTAGCGGAAGGCACCGGTGCTGGAGGCTGGTGGAGCCGAGCTACTCGCCTGTGACCAGTGTTTCCAGACGCGCTCCTGACTGTCCTAACAGCACCTTCCCGCCGGGCTTGGGAACGGGCCCCTTGGCGGTCCGCCCTGTCCCACGGCAGGGGGGCCCGGCTGGCCGCGCAGGGACTACATTCTCCCCTGCCCACCCCCAAGGCCTCTTCCGACGGCACCTTTCCCCAGAGCCTGGAAGACGCAGCGGCCCCTCTGTCAGGAAGGAGGGGCGGGTGGCAAGGACTCCATCACGAGGCCTCAGTGGTCACCATTCCCTCAGCTTAAAGTCACGTGCTAAACGTGTCGCTGCATGCGTGTGGTCCGCACCCAGACACGTGCACACGCACGCGCTCCTCCATCAGGGCCTGAACACTGAGAACACACAGGCAGGTGTGTGTCTTTGCTGCATGTTTTGTGCGATGCCAGTTAGCTTCTACTAACCGTGGTTACCCAGAAATCCAGCGCCTGAGTGTGAGCGGCAGGAGACGGGACGCGTCCTGCAGGGAGGGCGGGCTGACGGCGTGCGAGCGGCGGGGAGAACTGGGCGAGGGTGCTGAACGCCGGCCACGCGACGACGCTCACTTATTTCTGTCTAACGTGATAGGGGCAGCTAGGCAGCGGTCAGTAAGTCGGCTCTACCAATGAAGTTCAAATCGTGTAAGTGTAGGGTGTTACAGCAGCAGATCTGTATTTATACTGGAGTACTTTTACCCCTCTAACGTCCCCAGTGCTACGTTAGCAGATGTGAGAAGCTGGGGAACGGTGCGCGCAGGCGGTTCGCTGGCACCACTTCCTGTCAGTGTTGCTCTGCCTCCGCGTCCCCATGCTCAGAGCTCAGGACAGGTCATGGGCGTCCCTCTGGCTGCTCGGCGGACAGGGCCTGTGGCAGCAGGCACAGGCTCACGCCCCCACCCCAGGCTGTTGCTGTGAATGGTTTCCCGGCGCCCAGCCGTGCCCGTGTGCCCAGTCAGGCGTGTGTACGGCTGCTTTCGCGCTACATCGAGTGGCGGTGGTAGGAGGGGACACCTAAAGGTTTCCCCATCTGGCCCTCTATGGGAAAAGCGTGTGCTGGGGACCCAGCCCAGCTCTCTTCATACACAGGCTGGCCGCTACCCCTCCTGCAGCGCATGCCACGTGGGACACCGTCGTCACCTGCCCCGTGCAGGCCAGGATGACAATTCAGCTGTACTGTGAAGCTACCGATAGGCTAGAATGTCCTTAAAACACTGATCCTGAATAGCTCCCCTCCACTGATTTACTACTGAACACTGTGGAGCCTGGCAGTTCAGGGTGGGGCCTCTGTCGCTGGGCATGTGGAGGGCATGGTCCCAGGCGGGCCGGACAGTGGTCACCCTGAGCTTTGAGATGCTTTTTCTCTCCCTTTAGACTCTTGAAAACCCAAACCAAGCCAAACAACAAAGGAAACCCGCACAACTTAAAAGAAACTTGAAAGGGATCGTATACTACTAGTTTGTACCGAGGTTTTTTTCAGGAAAGGGAAATAAATTTATATATATATGCAATATATTTTTACACTGTTTTGTTACCATTAGGGAGTCCTGAGTGTATCACTTTATCAGTGTGATGGTAAAGTAGCGTTGACGTCTTGGGTGTTCTCAGAAAGGCACGTCTGCTGGCATCTAGAAGCTGCACTCACCAGGGACATGTATGGGATCGGGGTGGCCTTCTTCTCCCTCCCCAGAGCGTGAGGCACGGTGTCACCAGTCAGAGCTGCTGTCAAGGCCTGGCTTGCAAACCTGTAGTGAAACAGCTCGTGTCTGTCTGCATTTTGCTCCTCCTGTGTTTGCTGTTAACATTGTGTGTCAAATTGGTAAAGTGATAAATAAAGGTGTTGAAATGTGGATCTGTTGTCTTTAAGGTGCACTGTCTACACCAGCAGTCACACCTGGGCATTAACGTCTAACATGGACAGGCCGTGGGAGGGGCCATGGGGGGGACAGGAGCCACAGCTCACAGGGCCTCACATCCTCTCCCCACAGGGAGGAGACTTTTGCTTCCTCGCTCAGGCGGGGTGACTACTGGTCTGACCCCAGGCCACCTGCATAGAGCGCAGTCCCAGGCGCGCTCTAATCTCACCCTGGTGCAGCCCCAGCTGGGGGCCCAGACACAGCAATAGTTTGTGAAACAGTTTTCAAAAATGAAGATAAAGGCACTTTAAGACCACAATAGGGGAGGGGCGCCTGGGTGGCTTAGTCGGTTAAGCGTCCGACTTTCGCTTAGGTCATGATCTCGCGGTTCGTGGGTTCAAGCCCTGCGTTGGGCTCTGTGCCGACTGCCAGCTCGGAGCCTGGAGCCTGTTTCAGTCTGTGACTCCCTCTCTCTCTGACCCTCCCCTGCTCACGCTGTCTCTCTCTCTCTCCCCTAGAAATAAATAAAACATTTAAAAAAAAAAAAAAAAGACCACAATAGGGGAAACTGCACCAGTAGACATTAAAAGTAAGTCTAAGTGCGGCAGGAACGTGGCCACAGACAGAATGTCTGAAGGGAAGTGGCTCAGAGAATAAGCAGTAAATAACTACAGAAAAACCCTGTAAATAAATGCTTTCTATGGGAATAAAAAATATTTCATTAAAATACTCAAAAACCGGGGCGCTTGGGTGGCCCAGTGAGTTAGTTAAGTGTCCAACTCTTTATTTTGGCTCAGGCCACGACCCCACAGTTTGTGAGTTCTAGCCCCACCTCAGGCTCTGTCTGTGCTGGGGGTAGGGCCTGCTTGGGATTCTCTCTCAAAAACAAAACAAAACCACACTAAAAAAACCCAAGACCCAAAACCCAAAACACCTTGAAAGCCATCACATGAAGCCAGAGGGTGCACAGGGAGGTACACGCTCCTGGCTCGTGTACGCCAGCAGCGGGGGCAGAAGCCCTGATGAGACGAACGCATGTGCGCTGTGATAATACACCAGAAAGAGCGCACAGCTTCCCAAATCAACAGAGGTGAAAATGATGAGGGTTGCAAAATAACCTATAAATGGCAACAGTAGAGAGGGAGACAATCACAGAAGAAACAGAATACAAAACAAGAACAAACAAAAGTGTATTGATTGTTAGGTGATATGGGAAGAGAAAGGAGAGAAAACCGATAAAGTGGAAAAAAAAAAGTTTTAGAGGTGAACGCGTCAGTAACATCCGCTACAGATGGAAAGGAACAGAAGCCGTGACGCAGGAGGGGAAGCACGAGGGAGCACGCTAACAACCGGCATGGACAACGGCCAGGGGGGCGGGGTGGCCCTGGCACCGTGGGGAGGACGCGGGGGCAGACCAGGCCTCGCCAGCCCCACGCGGGCCCTGGCGCCCCACGTGCTCCGTCGCCAGCGAGGGCCACCCTGCTGTGTCCTTGGGCTGGAAGCTGAGGTGGAGCCTGATGTCGGGAGCAACTGGCAGCCACTGCGCACCTGCATCCCTTTCCCTGAACGGCAAGGTCTTGCTTACGGACAGAACTCCAGGTGCTGAAGCCGTGAAAATGCTATTAAAAGACTGTTATGCCAAAACATTGGAAAATTAGGCAATAGGAACGAATTTGAAATACAGATCTGATGAGAACTCAGGAAGAAACGGGCAGCCTGCAACATCCTAGGGCTCATGTGGAGCAACTACTGGCGAAGTAGAAAACCCCCAAAACCTCAGTGGCTGGACACAGTGACATTTCTTACGGGCACGAGTCCAGCCGAGGTCAAGGAGGGCTCTCTGCCCACAGGAAAGAAAGAGGCCAGCTGGTCTGTGGCACCGCTGGCAAGGCCACCGAGGGGACCGCGGCCACCCGGCAGCTCTTCGCCGTCCCACTCAGAATGAGCCGCACGGCCCCAGACCAGCTGCGGGGCTGGCACACACGGGGGGTGGGCGGGTGCTCTGAGAATGGGCTCTGCCGCACCCTTGGACCATTAACTGAACTGAACCAATAGCCAAAAATCTCCCACAAAGAAAATTTCACGCACAACTGGCTTCCTCCCAAGTCCCACCGCACACTCAGGGAGGAGAGGATGACACCCTGTCCTAAACTCTCTTAGAAAGCGGAGAAGGACGCACAACCGAGCTCTTGTCCCAGGGACGGCGTAGCGGTGCGAACGCTGAGGAGGACGGCACCATAAAGGACCACAGCTGGGGTCACCGTGGGGACAGGACCGGTTACCGCCGCCTCCCAGCTGACAACCACACCACTCGGTGCTGTGTCAGCAGGGTCCTGGGACGGGACTCTAATTCGTCTTCATGACAAGCTGGGGCAGGCACTGTTATCACCCCTTCCTGAGAATGAGGAAATGGAGACCCAGAGAATCCCGATAACTAAATGTCACACGTTAAATGGTGTACCCAGAATACAAAATCCTACACAAAACAGTAACCAAACCCAGTAGTATGTTTGCAAAGGAAAACTCATCATAATTAAGCTGTGCTTAACCCAGAAATTTTTGGTTGTTTTTACATTAGCAAATTACTGTAATTACTCCCATGAACAGCGTAAACGAGGAGAATCATACAGTCATCTTCAATGGCTACAGAAAAAGTGATAAAATTCATCCATTCACGATATACAACGTCTTAGCCAATTAACACTACAAGGAGCTTCTTTAACCTGTTCAGGCTATCTACAGAACACTATGGATCACACACCCTCTCGAATGAGGACACCAAAAGCTTTGACAGTAAGTGCTGACAACATGGGCCAACAGAAACTAATACACTTCTCACGGAATATCTGTGTAACCATTCTGGAAATCATCTGAAATTGTCTGCAGCAAAGGTGTTAAAAACATGGTTTAGGAGTAAAGTGAAACATGAACATAATGTGACACCGAAAGTTAATACGAATGAACCAAATGGAATTTTAGAACTAAAAACATATGTAATTTCCGAAGTTAAACATCCGCTATCTACACAGGCCTCACTGCAGAAGGGGCCTGTGACAAGGCAGCAGAAATGACCCAAATGGAGGCCAAGAACAAAAGATGGGAAAAAGACCCCAAGTTTGGGGACCCGTGAGGACGCTACCAAGTGGTCTGAGGGTAACTGGGGTCCGGGGAGGGAGAGGGGGAGAGAAGCTGGATCAAATAACCATGCTGAAGAAATAGTGGCCAAAACTTTTCCAGATTTGATGAAAATATAAACTCACAGGTCTGAGAAGCTCAACAAAACCCAAACAAGAGGAACATGAAGTAACAGCAGGGTGATCCTTTTCAACAAGCCTGAAACAGATTAATGCTAAAATCATTTCAAGAAATAAAAAGATGGTATGGTGATGAAAGAAACCCACTCCCCTGTAAAAACTGCATTTGCTGTGACCTGTTTTCCTGCTAAGTTACAGAAATTGGTGCTGAAGGACACAGCCATGACCAGACAGGGAGGGAACTGGGGAGGCCACCTCCCAAGGGAAATGCCCGACCCCTGACCCCTGACCCCCAGTGGCAGAGCCCGACGCATGCAAGGCTGGCATGGGGCAGGCACCTATAGGCTCGCCTGCCCTTCTCCCTAAATTAACCAGGCACTGTTTTACCAAGAAAGCAAGTATTTAGATAAGATAAGAAGTTTCCAAACTGAAAATCTAATATTTTGTCCATGTATGCTCTAATTTTCAGAAATGCACTGTAAGCAAGACAGCACCCAGGGAATACTTTCACTGTGACATATTAATATCAAAAACAGTATTTTTAACGTTTCCCCAAACTGTGTTACTTTTATTAAGTCTTGGAACTTATTGGTTCCTGCTCAGGAACCATGGTGCATAGCTTGCTTTATAAAAGAATTCAGTGAGGAAAACTCAGTCACAATTTAATAAAAGCCTTTTTAGAATAGGTTTGTTAAAAAAGGACTCTTGTCACACAAAATTAATGATCACACACAGCTCTCTTACATAAAGAAGAAAAATACTGCATTTTATTTCAGGATGTTTCATGGAAAATTAATGATGTTGGTCTCAAAAAACATCAAAATGTCTTGTTTCAAATGTGAAGGGCTTGCATTTATCCCGTTTTTTTTGTTTGTTTGTTTGTTTGTTTTTGTTAAGTCTTAGTTGTATCTCAGGAAGCAGGAACAGCATGCTAGCGTCGGAGGGAATGATCCCGGTTAGCATCTCTCCAAATACTACCCCGGATGTATCCTTGTTCACAGACTCGCTTACAAGCAGATCGATCCTATCTTTTCAGGGGATTTTAGAAAATCGAGCTAATGGCCCCGAATGTGTTTCAAAACCCTTGAGCTAATTACAAACAGGAGGCGCAGCTCTCTCCAACAAATGTACCAAGCTGAAAAGAGCTTCCACATCCAGCAACACAGACGCACAGGCCACGTGTCCCTGGCGCCGGGGCCTAGCAGAGGCCAGGGGTGGACGCGCAGGCGCCGGGGCCCAGCAGCCGCCGGGGCCCGGCGCTGCCCTGTGGGAACAGGCCCAGCGTCTTCTTGAGCTCCTTGTAGCTCCAGTGCAGCTGCTCCACCTCGGCCTTGTGCTGCGCCCGCAGCTGGCTCAGCTCCTGCAGGAGGTGCTCATTGGTGCCAACCAGGGAGCTGGAGGAAAGCACAGTGGGGGCGACACCTGAGCCCCCACCCTCTCTGCCCGCCCCGGGGTCCAGCCTGCCGCCTCCTCTCCAGCAGCACCCTCCCCCACCTGGCCGGGACCCTACTGACCCCTGTCCCCGCAGCCAACCCTGTCCTATCTCCCACCTGGCCCCCGCCATCCGCCCCTCGCCTCAAGACAGCATGATGCTACGTATGACCCGAGCGCTCGGCCGCCGTGCCACGCGCGGGTGCCGCTCAGCACCCTGGACGGACGAGTGAAAGGAACAAATGATGGAGAGGCACCTCACCACTCCAGCTGCACTTTTTTTTTTTTTTTTTTTTTAAGAAAACCATCATCATCTTCACAGCTAGCAGAACAATATTCTAATTCCAGAAAAGATCCAAAGACTGACATATTTCTAACTCCTGGTCCAATGTAAAGGGGCTCCCTGAATAATTCTGACATGACCGCCCGTGTAATGGAAGAGTCCTGGTTTGATAGTGTTGACCCCTGTTGCCTTTAGAAGGACTTCAGGAAAGAAGCGGCACTGAACTGCCCGCTTGGTCATCTGCAAACCGCCCCCGCGCCCAGTCAGCAGTGACCACATATAGATGGAAGCGGGGCCGTCTTCCCAGCCGCGTGCCCCCAACGACAGGCCTGTGCAGCAGGCAGCAGCCACGCAGGGGCCCCGAGTGGATGCAGTCTGCGTGGACCTCCCCAACGCTGCATGGGAGCCCCGTCCATGTGGAGCCCATCACGCCACAGATGGGGACCCGTTAGGTTCTGGGAGGCAACCTGCCTCGCCTGTCCCCTCCCTGCACCCATGACGGCCACCTTTTGCTTTCCTTCTGCTGCTCCATCTCTGCTCCAGCTTATCTCTCAGGAGCCCCTTCCCCTCTGTAACTCATGCTTGGGGTGAGCCCGCTGATCCCCAGGGAGGTCACAGCCTGGCTCCACCTGGGGCCACGTTGCAGTCAAGCCTGGTGGAGGTGTGTGGGACTCAGCCTGAGGCGGGGGAGTAGGGGCGAGTTGGGCTCACACTTCGCACCTCCACAAAGTGCACCTCACACTACCCAGCGAGTGGCACGCCTCCTCCGTGCACCCACTTCCCAGCACATGATCCTCTGGATAGAAACTGAGGTCCCGCCGTGAACACCCTCACGCTCCCAGCTCCCTTCTCACCAGCCAGCGCACAGCCGGGAGAAAAGGGAGAACGGACAGGAACCATGCCGGGCGTCCCTCGCCAGCTCTCACACGCGCCTCACAGGAGCCCTCCTGCTGCGCTCCTCCGCATCCCCCGTGTCGCTGGGGCCGGCCGTGCCCCCACCCACGGCCCCCAGGCAGGCACCTGTGGCTCTCCTGCAGCATCTGCGTGAGCTCCTGGATCTTGTCGTAGTGCTCCAGGTGCTGCTTCAACTCCACGATCTCATCAGAGAGCCTCTTCACACTTGTCTGAAGTCCTGAAAGAGAAAAAAAGTGGCATCATTTAGTGAAATTTATTCACGTTTTTAAAACTAAAACAGTTTAAGAGTTTAAATTGGATTGGGATACAGGCAAAGCCATGTGGCTTGGAGAAGGTCGGTTTCTGTAAGCAACTCAAAAATCCCCTTGGGATTAAAGCCTTGGGCCTCTGCCCTCCGGACATCCAAGCAACCACGTCCCGCACGGAAGGCAGGACAGAGTGGGGACAGAGGTGGGCCTGGCACCAGCTGGAGGCTCCTCCACTATCTATGTGCTGGCAGGAAAGGGCCTCCAGGAGCGTCTCTTCTACCAGGCAGCAAGCCCTGCCCTAGGGGAGGCCCGGCAGCTTTGGGGACAAGCGACAGGCGGCCCACCGTGGCCACATGTCTCTGACGTGTCCTCTGGTCCCAGGTCCATCAATGACACAGTGTGTGTTTGGATTCCATCTATGTGAGTCCTGTCTCTGAGCTTCCAACTTGCGAGGAGAAGAAATATATCATTTCTTGGCTCCCAAACCCCCAAACTGGCTACAAATAAATCCCCACACAGACACATGGCTGTAGAGCTACACCAGGGCGGGCAGGTGCAGGGACAGGGCAGGGGACACGGACAGTAGGCTCCTGCAGCAAAGGCAGAAGATCCCAGAAGCACTACAGTGAGACCACACTACTCAGCACCGACGCCCACCTGCACTTCCACCGGAGGGTGAGTGAAAGGGATTCTGGGAAGAGGACAGTGAAGACAATGAAGGCACGGTTTCAGCGCCCCCCAAGCACCAAGAGTAACTAGATGACAAAACCAGAGCCCCACAGACGACCTTTCAGCACCTGGTGGTAAGGCAGCTTCAAGACCCAAACATGAGAGCCACAAGCCTGGCAATGGTTCCACATCTGTGGGAGGGGAGCAGCGGTCAGCAGGGGGGCAGCCGCTAAGTGTCCCCTATGTTCACAAGAAACCCCTGCAGGGCAACTGAGGACCTGACACAAGAGAGGTTCGGCCTCCTCCAGTGAGGTCAGACCAGGGGCTCCCGTGTGGCCTGAGGGTCTGGAGCAACCCTGGCCCCTCAAGGCTGACCTGCCCAGTCCCTTCCAGAGCAGGGCTATGCCAGAGAGTGGCTGGTGAGGGGCCCCGGTCGCGCAGGAGAGGACACCAGAGGCAAGGGGGAGAGCGAAGGTCCCCCAGGGGCTGCTGAGTTTCTCCGTGAGGTCTGAAACGCTACCTGCCGCATTCCTGGACAGCTCGAGGACAAATTCCGTGTGCAAGTGAGCAGCACAGAGTGCTGAGGGCTAACCACGCACAAAGTTGTTGCCCCGACAACAGAAGCCACACCTGGAACACATCAAAACCATGACCAGGTATTTCAGAAGGAGCTAAAGACCAGAAAGAAATAATATAAGAGGAGAGCCTGGATAGCTCAGTCGGTTAAGCATCAGACTCTTTGTTTCAGCTCAGGTCATAACCTCACGGTTTGTGAGTTCGAGCCCCACATAGGGCTGTGCACTGGCAGCGTGGAACCTGCCGGGGATTCTCTGTCTCCCTCCCCAACCCTGTCTCTGTTTCTCTCAAAATAAATAAATGACTTTAAAAAAATGATACAAGAAATGAAAGAACTTAGAACTGGGAACGTTAGGTGGTGGCTGACCTCAGGCATGATCTTGCAGCAAAGGAAAGCTTCATGAGAAATGAAGGCTGAGCAAATAAAACAGGACAATGACATCTCAAGAAACAGGTGAAAAGGGGAAAGTTTTTAAATGAAAATTAAAGAAGAGACTGTAACAAACTCTTCGCACTCTATGAAACAGCCCAACAAACACAACCGAACAGACCTCAGTAGGCGTGTCACAGAGACACCTGCCCAGAGCCAGGGTCTTGTCTGTGGCTGCGCTCCTGGGATGGAGCCCACAGGGAGGGCCTGGGACGGGCTGTAGCCTGGAGACATCTGCTCTGTGGCCCTTTAAGAAAAGTTTTTGGACCCCTGGGACCTCAGCGGGCCAGTCCTCAGTGAAGTTAAAACCTCCAAGCGACCTTGCGGTTTACACCCAGACGAGATTCACAGAAGACACATACCACCAACCCCTCATGAAAACTCCAGAATCTGACCTTGAAATACTGAGTGTACTTTTGTAATGGAAAAATGAAATACAGTGAAGAGAGGGAAATGAAAGTGACTTGGGTCTGGAAGAAATGATGACGAAGAGAACAAGTACCGCCCTGCTCGGAAGAGCCAAGGAGGCAGAGGAGCGACCATGTGCACACGCAGGGAGGTGGGCACGCGCAGGGAGGCGGGCACGGGGCTTCCCGGTCCACGGCACTGCCAACAACACAGGCAACATCCGAGAGCTTCTAACGCATCTGCTCAGGGCAAAAGCGAGCATCTCTCAGCCCTCATGATATTTACTCGACCTGAAGTCTATCTACAAGTGTTTGAACAATTACATTTCATCAAATAATGTTACCAAAAAAACCACAAACTCACCAGTAATCTGCAAACTTAAGGTAGCTGCAGTGTCTGCATTTTTTACTTCTTTTTTCATGCTGAACAAAAGAGCCTTTAAGCTACTGTTCTCCTCCAAAGATTTGTCTAGATGTCGCCTCAAGTCATCCTAAGGACACAGAGCACACTTAAAACAGATGAGTCGAATTCCGTAAAATGAATATAGAAAATTAAACCTTTTGAAATCACCAGAGATTAGTTTTCTTTTATATCTCATAACCAATAAATCACAATGCGAACAACAGAAATCACAGTTGCCCTCAGCTGAGCAGCACAGTGTCCTTCAAAGGAGATAGAGAAAGGGGTGGCACAGTTCAGGAGGGGGCGGATGGTGTCCCCAGCAACCCTGGTGAGGGTGTGCTTCAGCAAGAGGGGAGATGTGCTGGCTGCTGGAGCCCTGCCTCCTCCAGGAAGGCCCCATGGTTACCACAGCCTGGCTCCCTATCTCTTCTCAAGGAGCAGGAACAAGGGCTGGGCAGTGTGCCAGCCCCATGTGGTCCCTCTGGCCTCACTTCTTGGGCAAGAGCGCAGGCAGATCCCAGGGCTTCGCGCTACCCCAAGCAGGTGCCTCCCTACAGGAGCCCCACTGAGAAGTCTAGGCTCCTTTCACACTTCCGGAGATGGAGGCAATGCCCAGCCTGCCAGGGGACGTTAAAGGGGAGGGGAGGGGACCGAGGCCACTGTGAGCTGGTGGCACATGGCGCATCAAAGCCACCTTGCCTGCACAGAAACCAGCATACACACCCCCACCAGGGGAGCAAGTGTCTACCTCACAGTGACAGGGGCCCTTTCAGGAAACTGCTATGCTCATTCTCTACCCTGACAGCCCAGACAGTGCACTGGTCCCTCTGTCTGTGTGCACATCCACTCTGGGCAGTACAGAAACTGTTACGTGGCCACTTATGTGCTGACAGCTTATTTCCCGAACACGTGGTGTGTTCCGAAAGGGCAGGGGCTGGGCCCCAGTGCTAATAGTCTCAGTGGAGGCTGAATCAGGAGCAGTGGACTGACCACACTTGGGTACGTGTGGCACTGCCGCTTGGAGCCAGGCTGGACGGCTCAGAGGCAGGGCTTTTGCTAAGACCGGTTTCCTGCGCGTCGGGATGTGAGGAGACAAGACTGCAGAACCAGTGTCTTCACACCAGGGAGGGAACCAGGGTCAATAATGGGCCCTTCAGGAACAGCGGACTTCCTCTGTGAGAAGTCGCTCCCAACTGACCCGCCACAGGCCTCCTGACAGAGCTCCTCTGACCATGCTTCCCTCCTCTGGGATGGGTTCAATGGGGTAGATCTCAGAAGGCACTGAGCAGGGCTCTCGGGCTGCCAGATGGTTCTAGATTGGTCGTCCAGGCAGGGCCTCTCACTGCCCCTGTCCAAGGTCACCCTGTAGAACAGGGTCAATCAAACTGTCCACAGAAGTGAAGATGTCGCACCTCCATGCACGTCTTCCACACTAGACTGCATCACAGAGGAGCAGACGTCAGAGGCCTGTCTGTATGGATTCCACTGGTCCCATTCCACTGAGCACTGTAAGGGGACAGGGTGCTACCTACTCATCTGCACCCAACCCAAAAGCCGTGGTCCTTTGTTTCCATGGTTAACCAGCCATGCTGTGTCCCATGGGGTCAATGCTGTCTAACAAAAATGATGCTCTACACAGTGATTATGGCTCAGGGTCATGGGGCTCCAGTCCTTTCTGGATGCAGACACCACTTGCATGCACACATACATGTCCACAGTGCATCTAAAGGTCGCCAGTATCATTTCATTATTTTTTAAAATCTTCTTCTCTAAAAGTAAAGCTTTGTGTGGGATCTCTGAAATGGCAGCCTCTCATGAAGATGGTACCAGATGTTCCAGAGACCCGTCTCCCAGCAATCCTGTGGCTATTCTCGTTCCCATTTTCTGGAAGACATGGCTGATGCAGAGACTGGGTGGGCAGCTGCCAAGATGGCCCAAGGGTGCTCCTGCTGTCATGTGGCGCCCTCCTCTCACATGGGTGGGCCTGCTGACTGGATCCCAAGCAACACACTATGCAGAAGTGCTGACACAGGACTCACAAGAGCAGGTAACAAAGGATGGCCTTCTACTCGGCCACTCTCTGGCCCTGAGGAGCAGCCACCAGGCCAAGAGGGCCTCAGGTAGCCTGAAGACAGGCTCAGGTGCACAGGGCCAAGGCTGTCTGTGGGTGAGCCTGGCAGGGGGTGCCCACCTCTATCAGGCCTTCAAGGAAACCATGGCCCTAATCGACAACGTGATGGCGTGATGGCAAGACCCTGACCCACAGGAGATGTTGACAACAGACGGATGCTTGCTACTGAAGGTGCTGCCCTCTGGGGTAACTTCACAGGCAGTGATAAGTAACACACAGAGACGGCTAAGTAACTTGCCCAGAATGACCAGCTACTATGTCCCAGACCACCCTCTCAACCACATGACATGATGTTAGTACTGACTTTTTAAAAGAGCCTCCTGAACAGACTCCATATACTAAAACTCAACCATAATGATGAGCAAGGTAAACAACTTCACCTGGCTGAATGCATGGTAGACATTTTATTTACATGTACACACACACACACACACACACATTTATTGACTTAAGTTTATTTTGAGAAAGAGACTGTGAGAATATGTGAGAACATACAAGAGGGGCAGAGAGAGAAGGAGAGAATCTCAAGCAGGCTTTGCACTGATAGCCCACACGGGGCTCGATCTCACAAACTGTGAGATTATGACCTGAGCTGAAATCAAGAGTCAGACATTTAACTGACTGAGCCTCCCAGGAGCGCCACATGATAGACATTTTAAAGTAAAAATCGTACACATCTGAGGTGTGCACTTGATGATACACACATACATGGTGAAATGATTACCACAGTCAAGTTAATTACCGTAGCTTCTCCTCACAGAGTTAACACTTTTTGGTGAGCACATCAAAGCTATTTTCATAGCAAACTTCCAGACTCTCTGCAATACAGTAGCTGTGATCCCACACCTAGTCATCCTACACAACCGCGGCAAAGTCCCCTTACCACCATCCTGGTCTCCCCACCTGCCTGCCCCTGGTGACCACCTTCCACTCTGTTTTTATGTATTCAACTCTTAGACTCCACATGTAAGTAGGGTCGTGTGGCTCTTTTCTTGCTCTGTCTGGACACCAGGCATACTGCTCTGCAGGTCCATCCGTGCTGTTGCAGACAGCAAGCCTTCCTTCTTTTAATGGCTAGATGATATTCCATGATATAAATACACTATTTCTTTATCTGTTCATCCATCAATGGACAGTTCGGCTTTCCATGTTTTTGCTACAGTGGATGCTGCCATGAGCATGGGAGTGCAGACCATTCTCAGAGGTACTACTTTCATTTCCTATGGGCAAATATCTGAAAGTGGGATTCTTGGATTGTACCACAGACTCACTTTAACTTCAGGGGAACCTTCATACTGTCTTCCATGGTCGCTGCACCAGTTTGTATTCCTTCCAACAGTGTACAAGGTTCCCTTTTCTCCACATCCTCACCCACACATTGTTTTTGTCTTTTTGATTATAACTATTTCTGACAGATGTGTGGACATTGCCTTGTAGCTCTGAATCTGCATTTCCCTGATGATGAGTGACGCTGTGTATTTTCCCATGGATTTGTTGGTCATTTGGATGTCTTCCTTGGAAGAATGTCTAGGCAGATCTTCTGCCCATGTCTTAGCTGGGTTCTCTTTTTGCTATGAAGTTGTAGTATTTCTTTATATATTCTAGATTTTAACCTATTATGAAATAGATGGTTTGCAAACATTCTCTCCCAGGCCACAGGCTGCCTTCTCACCGTGTTGATGGCTTCCTTTCCTGTGCAGGAGCTTCTGTGTTTGATGTAGTCCCACTTGTGGATTTTTACTTTTGTTGCCTGTACTTTGGTGTCAAATCCAAAAAATCATCACCAAGACCCTATCAAAGGGCCTTTTCTCTGTTTTTGTTTTCCCTAGAGGTTCTACAGTTTCCAGTCTTACATTTAAATCTTTAAATTCATTCTGAATTGACTTCTATGTATGGTGTTAAGGGTCTGGCTGCATTCTTTTGCATGAGGCCATCCAGTCTTCCCAGCGCCACTTATTGAAGAGACTGTCCTTTCTTCATTGTTATATTCTTGGTGTCCTCGTCAAAAATTAGTTGGTATGTATGGATTTATTTCTGGGGTCTCTATTCTGTTCCACGGATCTATGTGTCTGTTTTTATGTCAACACCATACTGTTTTACCATAGCTTCCTTCATAATATTATGTGAAATCATGGAGTGTGATGCCTCCAGCTTTGTTTGTTTTCCATATGGGTTTGGCTATTAGGATTGTTTTGTAGAACTAGAAAAATAAAAATACAAATTTTAAGAAAAATAATTATACAAATTTAAAAATTTTTAGTTCTGTGAAAAATGCCACTGGAATTTTTATAGAGATTGCACTGAATCCATATATTAATTTCAGTAGTGTGGAGTTTTTAACAGTATTAACCTCCCAATCCATGAACATAGGATATGCCTCCATTCATTCATCCTTGTCTTACAGTTTTCAGTGTTTAGATATTTAACCTCCGTGGTTAAATGTATTCCTACGTATTTTATCCTTTTTGATACAATCATAAATGGGATTTTTTCGTTTTTTTTTCACATCATTGTTGGTATAAAGAAACACAACTGATTTGTTATACTGATTTTATGTCTTACAACTTTACTGAATTGATTAGTTCTAACAGGTTTTTGTTGTTCTGTATCTTAGGATTTTTTTACACATAAAATCCTGTTCTCTGCAAATAAATACTCTTACTTCTTCCTTTCCAATCTGGATGTCTCCTTTTCCTGAATACTCTTGCTACTAATTCCAGTTTTATCCTGAGCAGTCCTCATGTGACTGCATGGATATGCATGTCCTACATGTGTCCTGTAGTGGATCTTAGCTTAGAAAGAAGCTTTCGGTTTTCTCTCACTGATCATAATTTTAGCTGTGGCCTTATCATAAATGGCCTTTATTGTGTTGAGGAAATTTTCTTGTGTATCAATTTTTTTTGAGACTTTTTATAATGAATGGATGTTGAATTAGGTCAAATGCGTTTTTCCCCATATGTTGAGATGATTACATGGTTTTGATCTTTCAATCTGTTTATGCGGTGTTTTAATTAGCATATGTTAAACCAACCTTGCATTCCAGGGGAAAATCCACCTGGTCATGGTGTATACTTTTTTTTATCTTTTTCTCTCTTTCTTTCTTTCTTTCTTTCTCTCTCTCTCTCTCTTTCTTTCTTTTCTTTCTTTTCTTTCTCTCTCTCTCTCTCTCTCTCTCTTTCTTTCTTTCTTTTCTTTCTTTCTTTCTTTCCTTCTTTTTCTCTTTCTTTCTCTTTCTTTTCCTTCTTTCTTTCTTTAATGTTTTATTTATTTCTGAGAGAGAGAGAAATAGACAGCATGAGCAGGGAAGGGTCAGAGAGAGGGGGAGATACAGAATCTGAAACAGGCTCCAGGCTCTGAGCTGGCAGTCAGCACAGAGCCCGATGCGGGGCTCGAACCCATGAACCATGAGATCATGACCTGAGCCGAAGTTGGAGGCTTAAATGACTGAGTCACCCAGGTGCCCCTGATTTGTTTCTTGAATTTGATTTCCTAGTATTTCATTGCAGATTTTTAAATTATGTTCACCAGTGATATTGGCCCGTAGGTTTCTTTTCTTGTGGTGTTTTTGGGATCAGGGTGATACTGGCTTCATAAATGAGTACAGAGTATTTATTCTACTTCTATTTTCTGGAAAAGTTAAAAAAAAAAAAGAGTATTAATTCTTCTGTGAATATGCAGTAGAATTAAGCCATGAAGCCATCTGGTCCTGGTTTTTTATTTTTATTGTTGGGAGGTGTTTTAGTATTGCTCAATTTCCTTATTTGTTATTGGTCTGTTTGGGCTTTATTTCTTCTTGATACAGTCTTGGCAGGTTACACATTTCTAGGAACTTACCCATTTCTTCTAGGTTATCCAGGGTGCTCACATATGAGCACTTGTAACAGTCCTTATGATCCTTTTTATTTCTGAGGCATTTATTGTGATGTCTTCTCCTTCATTTGTTATTTGAGTCTTCTCTCGTTTTTGTAATCCAGCTAATGGTTTGTGGATCGTGGGTATTTTTTCAAAAACTCAATTCAGTTCTGGTATTTTTTTCCTATTATTTTTCTAATTCTCTATTTGATTTATTTCTGCTCTGATGTTTACAATTTCTTTCTTTTCTCTTGCTAACTTTGGGTTTAGTTTGCTCTTCTTTTTCTAGTTCCTTAAAGGGTAAAGTTAGGTTTGTTGGGATCTTTCTTCTTTTTTAACATAGGCATTTGTGTGTAACAGTCTTACATGGCAAGGTTAGGAAGGGCGGGAGCAGCCCTGCCCAGTCAGGAGTCTCGGGCTTGGGTGCTGGGACAAAGCTGTGCCTGCTCTACCTGCCCTTGGGTGCCACCTGGTGGACAAAATCCCTCTGGTCCAACAGCACGTCGTGGCCCTGTGCTGGCTGATGCAGGCAGGAGAGCAGCAGGGACCCCAGAGTCACCCAGCTAACCGGAGCCTCTCTCGTCAGTGGTCGGGGAGCCTGGGCCACAAAACCTCCACCTCAAGCCCAGCTTCATCCGTGCTCTCAGTCCCACTCAGCGTCTCCAAGAAGAGAGAGCAGCTGTGCAGGAAAGGCAGGGCTAGGAGACCTAGGCAAGGACAGGATGCTGTCATCCACAACCCCTGCTGCGTAGGGCTCAGGGACCATGCAGGCAGTGGGTGGCAGGCAGCTGGCAGCCTAGGGGGTGGGGAGGCTAGCGAAGGGAGCCCTGCCCCCGTGGCCTGACGACAGCCAAAGGGAAATGCTCCCCTTACTAGTGAAGTCAAATGATGCCTCTACCCCATGTGTGAATGAACAGAGATAACGTGAAGGGCCCGGCTCACCATCTCCTTCTGCGTGTTGGTGAGTTCTGACGCCACCTCACTCATCTTCATGTTGTACTGCTGCTGCTGCTCAGCCAGGTGCTTTTGCAAAGATCTATTTTCCAGAGTAAGGTAATTAATTTCTTCACTCACAATTGCTGAACTGTCCTGGGTTGCTGTAAATTCTTGCAACGATGATAAAATATGTCTTGCCTGAGCTAGGAGTAAAAATAAAATGGTATTACGGCATTTATGTTGAAAGGATGAAGAATAAACAAAACATGTCCAATACATTTTGAGAAACACAAACTACATGCCTCAGCTGGTAAAAGGACATGGACACCACTGAAATCACCTCACTCAGGTGTCTGTACATCCATCCAGTCACGGGTGGGATGGGAGGTGGAGGGAAACAGGAAAAGAGTTTTACTCTAAAGCAAAGGTGCCCCTGAAGAGAAGGCCATGACGGGACAGTGTGCCTGGATGCCCCAGTGGCCTGCTACGCTCTCTTCCATGGCACTGCCTGCCCCCTGCTCCTGGCCTGGGAGCAAGAGGGTAAGATTTATGGGATCAGGATCCAGAGGCTCCATCATCCTGGGGAGTCCTGATTCTAGAAGCTCCAGGGCCACAACACTGAGCACAGAACTCAGCTCTGGGCAAGCCCCGGGTCTGCAGGACGGACGAGCAAGCTCCTGCCCCAACCAAGACACTGTAGGCCACACCCTGGGCTGCAGAAGAAAGACTGCGGCCACCTGCAGATGCAGCGTCTGACACTCTGGATGAAGGGTGCCCAGTGTGCTCCTGCACCCAGGCACAAGCAAAAGCAAAGCCAAGTCCTCCCTGGGGAGTGACCACCCTCCTGGGCCTCATTCTCAGTGAAAGCTCAGCAAATCCAGGGTCCTACACACAAGATCACATGTTTAGAGGGTTGGAAAGAGATGGTACAGCTTTGAGATCTCTCCAAACCTTCACATAAAACAGAACGAGAACCAAACTTGTGAACAGCATCTCCAACAGAACCAGGTGACGATGCAGCATGCCAGTAGGCAAACCAACAGCCACAGGACCGCATGACACCCTCATGTCTCACAGCCCACAGAGGACCCAAGCTGCTTCAAAAGGGCCATCAGGGGGCACCTGGGGGGCTCAGTCGGTTAAGCCTCGGACTTCGGCTCAGGTCATGATCTCACGGTTCGTGGGTTTGAGCCCCGTGTCGGGCTCTGTGCTAAGAGCTAGCTCAGAGCCTGGAGCTGCTTCAGATTCTCTATCTCCCTCTCTCTCTGACCCTTCCCTGCTCACACTGTGTCTCTCTCTCTCTCTCTCAGAAAAATACTGAAAAAAAAAAATTAAAAAAAAAAAAAAAAAAAGAGGGCCATCAGAATGCTCCATGCAGTGCAGTGGGGACAGTGACAGCCAATGGGGAGGGTGCAGCAAGGTGCAGGGCTCAGAACCCAGCGGCCCAAGTCCAGGTCTGAGTAGACCATCCTTCCTGACTCACCTTGGAACACCTGGTTGCCGTGCAGGGACTTGCAGCCGCTCCAGTACCTGTCCACCAGGTCGAGGAGTGCCTCCAGGAGCGCCACTTCCAGGGCAGCCTTCGTCCCGGGGGGCGGAGCCGAGTACAGCTTGGGAGACACCTGCCACGCAGAAGTCAATGGTTACTGTGTGAGGCAAAGCCTCTGCCACCAGCGTGCATCATGCTGAGGCCCTTGTCCAGCAGAGGTGTATACAAAGGGGCTGTCCAAATGTCACAAGGCCATAGGGGTGGCACATGGGGGATCCCCTCCCTGCCCCCTGGACGTGTGACATCCTCATACCAGGAGGTACAGCTAAAGGGGACACTAGCAGACGTCACACCAAGTGTGACAGGCATGAGACCCACATCACAGTTTAAGCTCTAAGGCTGTGGGAACTCTAGTCCCACGCTGGCCTGTACTGGGCCCTCCTGAACCAGGGCAGGGGGACTCCTGGAGGCTGCAAGACCCCCTAGAGTCTGTCTTGGCCTGAACGGTCACTGGTGTCTGGAAAGCCCTGAATGTGTGAAGTCACATTGCTGGACCAGACGGAAGTCAGGCCAGGATGATGAGGGTACCAGAGCGGCCAGGCAAAACCATCAAGACTCCACCCAGGGCCTGGCCACACCAGTGCCATGTCAGCATGCACAACAAGGTCTCTCTTTTCCTCTTTAGAAATTACTTCACCAATTTTAAAGAATTACTAAAGAAAGGGGGTGGCTCCTGCTCTCCCACCCACTTTCCAAGCATCTGAGGATTTGGGGAGGGAGGGAATAGAAGCTCACATCTGTCTCCAGGTAAATGACCAGAGCTGGGACACAGGCTGGCCTCAGGTCCCCAGGAAGCAGCTCCAAGCAGAAAGCTGGGGAGAGCCCTACCTGGCACTCTGCTATTACTTAACATCCAGGGCTTTTCTACTGAGGAACTTCAAAAGAGCCAGACACCCTGAAAAGGGCAAGGCAGAGAAAGCCACTTCAGCTGGGGCAGCCCCCACCTCCTGCCCTCACTGGCCACCCCAGGTCCACCAGGAGCAGGCCCAGCGAGAGGGCACTGCACTGCCCAAGGCTGCACCGGGAAGGGGCGGCATGACAATGTTAAGGCCTGGCTGCTCACCCCAAAAAGCTAAGGGTATGAGCATATCTGTGAGCCTCTGGCACCAACATCTCCATCCTCCATCACAAGCTATGTGGACACTTGTCCTCAGGCAAAGATGATGGAGCCCATGTCCCCAGTGCACTCATCAGGCTTCTGTCTCTTACCTGAGGAGCACAGGGCAGTGCCCTCTGCGAGAGGAGGAGCACCATGAGGTGCCAGCCCCATGGTGAGTGCATGAGCTCTCTGGGGGAAGCTCTGCACCTGGCGATGTCCATCCTTGGTGAGTGAGGTCAGGCCTCCAGGGGCCAGGAAAGCAATTCCCCACTCGGGCAAATCCTCACTTCTCTTCCTTCTCTCAATCTAGACAGTGAGAGACTGGCCACACACACAAACAGTGGCTGGATCCTTTGTGGGATCCCACTTTTGTGGGAGTGACCCTCTGACCCAAGACCTGCGGTGACCGGCCCAGAAGCCAGTCTATCATCTATGGCAATCAGCCAGGGTGCCAAACCGCGGCTCCTGTAACAATCAGCCCAGCAGCCACAATTTGACCAGTAAAGTGACAGCTTCCCTAAATTTTTTCCCCGTTTGCAACTGAGGACCAACCACAGGAAGCCAGACCATCCCCTAACCAGGCAGTTTCTTGGCCCTGCCTCTGCTGTGCTCCCTCTCCCCTGGTCCCACACCCCTCCACGTCAATGCTCTCCCATGCGCCCAACTGCCCGGGCTTGTCTGCCAGACCAGCAACAGGGCAGACCCCCTTGCCACAGCCCGTGCCCAAGGTCTGCCCCAATTCCCACAACTCTGTGCCTTGATCTCTAACAAAACCAATGACCAAGGCAACAGAGTTGTCACCCACGTGGTTCTAGGTCATCGAAGGGTGGCAGAACTCTCAGTCACTACGCAGGGCAAGTCCTTTGGAAAACCACGGGATGCATGTCCAGGACACCCTCACAACAAGGCCACTGGTGGCTCCCTGGCCAAGACGATGGATTCCAGCTCCAAGACAAGCACCCTTGCCAGAAAGCACAACTGCCCCCCAACTGTGCCCACATTCCGGCCTCAAAGCATGGAGTGTGGTGGGAAGTGACGCAAAGCCTGGGGGTATATTTCCAACAGACCAAGAGGTAGCAAGTGCTGGGGAGAAGCACGTGTAGAAACCTCTCCAGCTGGGGGCCAGTGAACTCAGGGGAGGGGGAGGGAGCATGGCGGGGCCTGACAGCCCCCACCTCTCCTTCCGGCCCTGCTCGGCTCGCCCACTCACCTCTCCAGTGCCACTCACGCTGTGGGGCCTCTCCCCTTCGGGCTCCGATACTGCGGAGCGAGAAAAGGTCCTTTCACTCCTGCCCTCCGAGCCACTCTGCCTGCCCAGACTCTGCTCGGGGCTCAAGGGCACGTCGGGCCTCTCCAGGCAGTTCAGACACTCCTGGTCTGCAGGTGCCTGGAATCTTCCGCCAGGCATTCTTCGCTTCCTATAGTTTTCAGGAGCAGGCAATGAATTTAATACCTTCTGTGCTAACAAACTTGACTTCTGAGAAAGGGCAGGCTCCTCAATGTCCGTGGAATCTGTGAAGGAGGGTGGAACAGAGCCCTCAGCAGACCACGTTCTCTGGCCTCAGTGACAAGTACTGTAATTTAAAAAGGTGTGTGCATGCATGCATGTGTGTGTGCTCGTGTGTGCATGCATGTGTGTGGAAGTGGAAAATCCACCCAAAAGTGATAAAACTGAGCTATTAACTTTAACAAATCAATCAACCAACTACTATGTTCTTGATGAAATCATGTATGACAAACAAGTGCGTAAAAGCTTAGAATTTGGGGATTACAGAGGACTTAACAATTTGTTCCTATAGTGGACTTTGTTAACGTATCAGTACCTGGGACCCTCCCTGCCCCAACAGACATGGCCTCACGGCCACAGGGCCACATCCCTGAAGTGGGCTCATACCAAGCACCGGCCGGCACAGGGAAGAGGTGGGGGCCTGTGCACTGCAGACAGGGTCCTTCTCTACAGGCAGGCTCTCCCTGCATCCCATCCCTGCTGCTGACTTGAGGCACCATAGCACTGAGCTCGGTCTGGACTCTGCACACCAGCCCAGCTCCCCAGGTCCACACCCTTCTCCCTAGGCCACCCTCCAGTCCAGTCCCCTCCTCTGGGCTCTTGCTGCTCCCTTCTCACATGGCATCAACAGCTCCATGGCTCCTCAGGCTCACTGAACTGAGGACTACCCTAGCAAATCTGTGCCGCAAGTGCTTATGACCTGAGTAGACAACAGTCATCCGGCTGCTGGGTCAGAGGTCATCGGCACCCTTGTTCCACGTCCATCGCTGAACCTCACCAAGTCTGCCTGAACGCTGCCTCTTGCTGGGACTGGTCTGCCATACCCTCTGGGACAGACCCTCCCATGCACCCTCTACAACCCAAACACACAACAGCCACTCACATCACACCACCTCACCCCACCCCTGCCCTGGGGACAGACACAGCCCAAGTGCTGCCGTGCCACCTCACCTCAACCTGTGACCTGTGTTCTTCCTTCTCCCCTTCCAGCCCACCGCCTCTGCATGAGCCCACTCTCCCAAAACGTACGGTGGATTCTGGCTACCAGGAATCAGCAGAGCAAGCCACAGTGGGGGTAAAGTCAAGTCTGAGTGCCTCAGGGATGCAGAAGATGGAAAGATTGAGAACTGTTCTGGGTCATGGGAGTCTGATGAGATGTGGCAATTAGATATGCTCTGTGCACCTGGACAAAATCCTGGACCAGAAAAAAAAAAAAAAACCATCAATGGAACATTTAGTGAAACATGAACAGGGTCCGTGGGTTAAGTGGCAGGTCTGTCCCATTCTGTAGCGTTAAATGCTCGTTATCCAGGAGAGTATCGTTGCTTTTAGGGAACCACACTGGAAAGGTTAGGAGTGACAGGACATCTTCCTGTTCCAGATGGTCAGAAAGATGGATAATAGTGCATGTGCACACATATGTGTATACATCCCTAATTATGTACGTACATACGCACGTGTGCTCACACAAAGATGCACACACATACATACACATACAACATACATGGCACCCACGTACCTGGTGGGTAGGGGTGGGGCACAACTGAGCAAATGTGGTAAATGCAAACTTTGGGGGCATCTGGACAAAGCAGACATGAAACTTCATTGTTCCGTTGTGGCAGCTCTTCTGTGACCACTCGAAAATCCACGGGGACTACACATCGATAAAGAGGTCTGAACATCAAGCACATGACGTGTCTTGATGAAGAGAGGTAAAATGATGAACCCTGATGATGTGGGGGTCCCGTGCACCCCACGCCACCACTGTGAGGTCTCAGGATACAGGGGTAAAAGCAGCTGGTCGGCCATACTCTGCTCTGCAGTGGCCACAGGCAAGCCAGGCAGGTCACTGGCACAATCTACCCACTTCTAAAGGCCCTGCGAACAAGCCTCAGGAACGTGCTAAGTTTGCTCATATGGGGAGGTTTCCTGACAACTCTGCCACACACATGCATACAACACTCCCAATTTACTTCTTATTTAATTTTCTTCAACTTTTTTTGTTTTTTTTTTTTGAGTGAGAGCACAAGCAGGGCAAAGGGGGAGGGAGGGAGAGAATCCCAAACAGGCTCCATGCTCCATGTAGAGCCCAATGTGGGGCTTGATCTCATGACCCTGCGATCATGACCTGAGCCTAAAACAAGAGGTGGATGCTTAACTGACTGAGCCACCCAGGTGCCCCTCATTTTAGTTTTTAAAATGTAGCTACTGTCCTAACCTGCACCCTAGTGTTCAGAAGATGTGTATGTGTGTGTAGAGAAAAGCACCAAGCATTTAGGGACTAGACTCTACAACCTGGATCCACCATACGTTTCAGTGTCTGGGATTCTTTCCTAAGGCATCTCAGAGAGCTCCACAAATGCACAAATGTATTGAAGACAGGAGGAGAGATTTCCGTGATGGCACACGGTGAACACCCGCACCTGCTAAGGAGCTGACAGATGCCGCATGAGACTGCTCACCTGGGTGGGGGGCAAAGTGTGTGTGCGGCCCACACTGCGGCGGGACCTCCCCACAGTACTGGTTCTGTAGCCTCTTTTCTGGACCACAACCTCGAGAGCTGCATTTCCTCATCTCGTGGCCTTTCTTTATGGAATCTCCACACTGGTACTGTATTGGCTGAGGACTCATCAGGTGTCTGGATTCTATTTTATTAAAAAACATTTTAAAAGTTTTATTTCATTAGAAATGACATTTTAACCTTCTGATAGTGTATGACAGCTATCAAGCACACAATTAAGTAAGAAAACGGAGACTGAGCAGCCAGCCTTGCAGTGACAGTAGCAGGTGCCACAGCCGGTACTGGACCATGACCGCCTGACCTCAGCACTTACTGCCCGGCTGGTACTGGCACAAAGACGTGACAACCAACAGAATGCCATGCAGAATCAGAAGGAGACTCAAGTCAATTGGGTTAAGTATATGCCACAGTTACTGAGTGAGAAGACAGTCTCTTCGCAAATATGGGGCGAACAAAGATTTCTTTTCAGGACACCAAAAAGCACAAACCATGTAAAGAAAAGAACTGGCAACCAGACTCCACTGAGAACTTCTGCTCTTCCAAGCACGGTTCTAAACCTGGCAGCCTGAGCGCCCAGCATCTCCTAAGCTAAGGGAACATGCCCTTGTGGCACAGACGGACAGCAGCCTCACTACAGGACACTTTACCTTCTTGTCTACTTCGACCTTTTATGTCTCCTGTGTAGTTGTAGTCAAAGTTCTGACTTTCTGTCAGAAGTCTATAATCCAAACTACTGGTATTTACAAGTTCACAAAGCCTTCATACAGATTCCGTACTTAAAGGTGAGTTTTCTAGAAAGTACAATTGTGTGTCTGGAAGCCAGTAATTACCAGCATCCCAGAACAGGTTGGCCCAAGGGGCCTTTGTGGTGGAGTAGCAGCCTACCTTGGGAACTAGGGAGGTCAGCCTCTCGCCCCCTCTGGCTGGAGCTTGTGCTCCCGGGAGGGTTGCTCAAGTCCCACTCGCACTCAGCAATGAGGTTCAGGACCGCCTCATCATCTGCGTCCATGACCAAGCATTTCTTGGCTGAGGGGTCAGTGCACGTGGCCCTCGAGTGGCGCAGTCTGCAAGGAAAAGCAAACTCAGTGCTGTCATTCAAGCCAGCATCACGCTCCCGACCGCATGGACCCTGTGAAGGAAGACGGGTGCTCTGCCAGTGGGGAGGAGGTGGTGCACTGCAGAAAATGGCTCTGGGTGCCTCTACCACAGAAGTCAGTGCAGGACTTCCCCAGGATGATGGGTGATGAAAAAGGGGTCATGTGATGTCACTATGCCATCCCAACATCCCAGTAGGGTCTGTTCAAGAATGAAAGTTCCAGAAAGTTCCTGTTCTGAAACCCCCTAGTGCATTCTCTTCTTAGCATATCCACAATGTGATGCATTTGATCAAGAAAGTTAAAGGGAATGGTGTTTGAAATTTCTGTTTTTACATTAAATGAAGATGTTTCCACACTGACTGAATATGAGATGTTTTAGATACAACATCCCAGCCAACTGCGACCCTCCACATGAAGGTGAACACACACAAAGGGGATTTACTTCCAACAAGGGCAGAAATCTCTTCAAGATAATAATCATCTACTATGAACATTGGTTTTATGATATCTGATCATACTTTAAGTCAATACTATTCATTATTTTCTGCTTCTGAGAATTTTCCACCTCACTGCAGAGGCAAGAGGAGTTGGGTTCTTTTTTCGGTCTGCCTAGAAACCTAACACCCGACACATTTCTGCCTCAGGGGTCTCCATGTCACCTGTGGATCACATGCTGCACCAGGCCATCTATTAGGCCTTCTGAGCTCTAAATTCCATAACAGCTCAGTCTTGAGATTGTCAAGGACAGGTAAAATACAGAATACTGCTGGAAGAAATTAAAGACATAAATAAGTGGAAACACACCCTATCTTCATGGATTGGAGACTATGTTAAATGTTAAAATGACACGACTCCCCAAAGCAGCCTACAGAACCAGCGCAATACCTATCAAAATCCCAATGGCATCTTGTACAGAAATAGAAAGAACACATCATAAAATGCATCTGAGACCTCAAGGGATGCCAAATGGCCAAACAATCTTGAAAAAGAAGAGTCAGCATTAGAACTCAGATTTAGCAGAATTGCCAACATTATTAGACTAGGCTTTAAAACAACTCCAAGTAATAATACTAAGAGATCTAATGAAAAAAGTAGACAACAGGGGCACCTGGGTGGCTCAGTTGGTTAAGCGTCTGACTTCGGCTCAGGTCATGACCTCACAGTTTGTGGGTTTGAGCCCCGCGTTGGGCTCTGTGCTGACTGCCAGCTCAGAGCCTGGAGCCTCTTTCAGATTCTGTATCTCCCTCTCTCTCTGACCCTCCCCTGCTCATGCTGTCTCTCTCTCAGAAAAAAAAAAAAAGTAGACAACATACAAGAACATGTGGGAAATTTAAGCAGAGAGATGGAAATTCTAAGAAAGAATCAAAAAGACATACTAAAGATCAAGCACATTGTAAGAGAAATGAAGACACCTCTGATGGGCTCATCAGTAGTCTGCACACAGCCAAGGGAAGAGCGTCTGAACTCAAGGAGAGCTCAACAGAATCCTCCAAAACTGAAAGACAAAGAGAGAAAAAGATGGAAAAAACCCAGAAGAGAATACTCAAGAAATGAGGGACAAATCACAAAAGGTGTAACACATGCTTCTTGAGAACATCAGAAAGAGAAGAGGGGGGGAAAAAAAAGGAACAAAGAAAATATTTAAGTCTGAAAGTCTGAAAATTTCTGTAAATTAATGTAGAACACCAAAACCTGTGTCGAACACAGATCCAGGAAGCTCAGAGAACACTGGCAGAGTAAACAACCAAAAGTTTACATCAAGAAATATATTCAAACTGGAAAAAAAATCAAAGAAAAAGAAAAAAAAGGCTGAAATAAGGCAAAGGGGAAAATACTTGATGTGCAGAGCAAGGAATGTAGGAATTACATCTGGCTCCTCCTCAGAAACCATGCAAGTAGCAAAAAAGTGAAGCATTTAAACTGTTGAGAAAAAAAGCTACCACGCCAAAATGTGGTAACCTACAAGATTATCCTTCAAAAGTGGAAGAGAAATAAAGACTTTCTCAGATAAACAGAAACTGCAATGTGTTGCCAGTAGATCTGCTCTGATGAGAAATGTTAAAAGAAGTTCTTTAGAGAAAAGAATGATGCAGGTCGGAAACTCAGATCTACATAGAAAGGAAGAGCATTGGGCCACCTGGGTGGCTCAGTCGGTTGAGCGTCTGACTTTGGCTCAGGTCGTGATCTCACAGTTCGTGGGTTCGAGCCCCATGTCCGGCTCTGTGCTAACAGTTCGGAGCCTGGAGCTGCTTCCGATTCTGTGTCTCCCTCTTTCTCTGCCCCTCCCCGCTCACACTCTCTGTCTTTGTCTCTGTCTCTCTCTCAAAAATAAACATTAAAAAAAAAAGTAGAGCACTGATCTAACAGATGACAGTCTGAAGTACCAGCAACAATGTCATATTTGATTACAGATGCCCATGTATTAATGCAGTTATAGCTTATGCATCAATGAAATCAATGACAGGACCAATACAAGGGACAGGAAGGTGGAGTTAAGAATGTTTTGTAAGTATGAGGTTATTTCCACTGTCCATGAAGGAGTGCAGTGTTACTTGAAAGAGGACTTGGATGAGTTGTAAAGGTCTACTTCATACTCTAGGGGAACCACTAAAAAAAAGTAAAAATATAAGTATAACCGAGATGATAACAAAGGAGAAAAAATGGAATGGCATAACATGCTCGTTTAGAAACACAAAAGGAAGAAACAAAGCAGAAGAACAGGAACAAAGAAAACAGGAATGAACATGGTAGATATGAATCCAACTGTACCAATAACCACTTTAAACATCAGTGGTCTGGGGCACCTGGGTGGCTCAGTCAGCTAGGCGTCCCACTTCAGCTCAGGTCATGATCTCCCAGTTCGTGGGTTTGAGCCCCGTGTCAGGTTCTGTGCTGACAGCCAGATCAGAGCCTGGAGCCTGTTTCAGATTCTGTGTCTCCCTCTCTCTCTGACCCTCCCATGCTCATGCTCGCTCTCTCTCTCTCAGAAATAAATAAAACATTAAAAAAAATTTAAACAATGGTCTAAACGTTCCAATTAAAAGAGATTCAACATGGATCAAAAAATAAGATCCAACTACACATTGTCTATAAGAAACCCATTTTACATATAAAGGTATATATGGATCAAAAGTAAAGGGATAGTAACAAATACACCACGCTGACACTATTAGAGAGAATGCAGGAACAGCTACATTAATTTCAGATGAAGCCAACTTCAAAGCAAGGTAACTTATAGGAATAAGAGAGGCATTATACAAAGATAAGGGGATCAAGTCTACAAGAAGACACTGAAGGCCTTAACCTACAACACCTAACAACAGAGCATCTAAACACATAAGGCACAAACTGACAGAACTACAAGGAGAAACAGAGGAGCCCAGCACCGCAGCTGGAGACCCCAGCACCCCTGTATCAGAAACGGACAGACCTGGTAGGCAGAAAATCAGTAAGAACACAGCTGAACTCAACAGCACCATCAATCAACGGGCTATTCAGACATCTATAGACCGCTTCATCCAGCAACAGCAGATTACACGTTCTTCTCAAGCTTCCATCAGACCTAGATAAATCATACTGTGAGCCATAAAACAAATTTTAACAAATTTAAAAGAGAATTCATAAAGTATCTGCTCTCATACCACCACTAATTGATAACAGAAAAAGAAATGAAAAAGCCTAAATACTTGGGAAATTAAAGAGCAAGTCCCTAGGGTACCTGGGTAGCTCAGTCAGTTAAATGCCCAACTCTTGATTTCGGCTCAGGTCATGATCTCACAGTTCATGAGTTTGAACTCCGCACCAGGCTCTGCACTGACAGCATGCAGGCTGCTTGGGATTCTGTCTCCCTCTCTCTTTGCCCCTACCCTACACACAATTGATCTCTTTCTCTCAAAAATAAATGTTTAAAAAAATAATAAAGAACAAATTCCTAAATAATATGACATGAGTCAAAGAAGACATATCTAGAGAAATTTAAAAATATTTTGAATTTGGGGCGCCTGGGTGGCTTAGCCGGTTAAGCGTCCGACTTTCGCTTAGGTCATGATCTCGCGGTTCGTGGGTTCGAGCCCCGCGTCGGGCTCTGTGCTGACTGCCAGCTCAGAGCCTGGAGCCTATTTCAGAGTCTGTATCTCCCTCTCTCTCTGACCCTCCCCTGTTCATGCTGTCTCTCTCTCTCTCCTAGAAATAAATAAAAATATTAAAAATATATATATATATTTTGAATTAAATGAAGATACATCTTAACAGAATTTGTGGGATGCAGTGAAAGCAATACTTAGAATGAAATTCACAGCACTGAATGCGTATGTGAGGAAAAAGAGTAAAATCTAAATCAATAAACCAACCTTCTATCTTAGGAAATTAGACAAAGAGCCAATTAAATCCAAAGAAAGCTGAAGAAAAGAAAAAGTAACAATCAGAGCAGAAATCAATGAAATTGCAAACAGGAAATCAACACAGAAAAATCAACAAAACCAAAAGATCTTTAAAAAGATCAATAAAATTGAAAAACTTCAATTCCAGGTTAATTAAGAAAAAAAAGACAGGGGCGCCTGGGTGGCTTAGTCGGTTAAGCGTCCGACTTCAGCTCAGGTCATGATCTCGCGGTTCGTGGGTTCGAGCCCCGCGTCGGGCTCTGTGCTGACTGCCAGCTCAGAGCCTGGAGCCTATTTCAGAGTCTGTATCTCCCTCTCTCTCTGACCCTCCCCTGTTCATGCTGTCTCTCTCTCTCTCCTAGAAATAAATAAAAATATTAAAAATATATATATATATTTTGAATTAAATGAAGATACATCTTAACAGAATTTGTGGGATGCAGTGAAAGCAATACTTAGAATGAAATTCACAGCACTGAATGCGTATGTGAGGAAAAAGAGTAAAATCTAAATCAATAAACCAACCTTCTATCTTAGGAAATTAGACAAAGAGCCAATTAAATCCAAAGAAAGCTGAAGAAAAGAAAAAGTAACAATCAGAGCAGAAATCAATGAAATTGCAAACAGGAAATCAACACAGAAAAATCAACAAAACCAAAAGATCTTTAAAAAGAACAATAAAATTGAAAAACTTCAATTCCAGGTTAATTAAGAAAAAAAAGACACAGGGGCGCCTGGGTGGCTTAGTCGGTTAAGCGTCCGACTTCAGCTCAGGTCATGATCTCGCGGTTCGTGGGTTCGAGCCCCGCGTCGGGCTCTGTGCTGACTGCCAGCTCAGAGCCTGGAGCCTGTTTCGGAGTCTGTGTCTCCCTCTCTCTCTGACCCTCCCTGCTCACGCTGTCTCTCTCTCTCTCTCTTAGAAATAAACAAAAACATTTAAAAAAAATAAATCTTTAAAGAAAAAAAAGACACAAATTACTAATATCAGAAGTGAAAGAAGGGTCACAATGACAGATCCCATGGACAGCAAAAGGATAATAAAGGAATACTATGAACAACTCTACACCCACAAATTTTATAATATAATCAGACAGACCAGTTCCTGGAAATGTACAATCTACCAAAATTCACACAAAGAGAAATGGATAATCTGAATGGATGTATATATTAAAGACACTGAATCAATAATAGCCCTCTGAAACTAGGTCCAGATGGGTTAACTGCTGAATTCCACCTAACATTTAAAGAACACAATGATACCAATTCTCTATAATCTCTTCCAGAAGACAGATACAGACAGAATACATCCTAACTCATTCTATGTGGCCAGCGTTATTTTAATATACAAGAAAACTATAGTCCAATATCTCTCATGAATACAGATGCAAAAATCTTCAACAAAATATTAGCAAATTGCATCCAACAATGTATAAAAAGAACTACACACCACAACTGAGTGGGATTTATTCCAGATATGAAAAGCTAGGTCAACATCTGAAAAGTAATGCAACCATCACATCAAAAGACTAAAGAAAACTCATATGCTCATATCAGTGGATAAAGAAAAGCATTTGACAAAATCCAACATCCATTCCTGATGAAAATGATCAGCAAACTACGAATAGAGGGGAACTCCTCAACTAGATAAAGAACATCTACAAAAACCTGCAGCTAACATCCCTCTTAGTGGTGAAAACTAGATGCTTCCTTGCTAAGATCAGGACAAAGCAAAGGTGTGCCCTCTCATTCCTTCTTTTAAACATCATACTGGAAGTCCCAGCTAATGCAATAAGAAAAGGAAATAAAATATATACAGATTAGGAAGGAAGAGATAGAGTTGTCTCTGTTCACAGATACATGAATTGTCTGTGTAGAAAATTCCAAAGAATCAACCAAAAACAAGAAGGAAAAAAACCTCCTGGAACTAACAAGTGGTTATATGGCAAGGCTGCAAAATACAGAGTTCTAAGTTTCATTGTGTCCCCCCCGCCCCCTCCCCACCAAAAGATATGAAGTCCCAATACCTTGTACCTCAGAACATGACCTTATTTGGAAATGGAGTCTTTATAGAAGTAATCAAATTAGTAGGAGACTGGGGTGGGCCCTAATTCAACCTGACTGGTATCTTTTGGGGAAACTGGGACACAGAAACTAACATGCAAAAGGGGAGATTGCATGAAAAGACACAGGGAGAAGACAGCCATACATCTAAAGAGGACTGGAGAGAGACAGCTGCAAGCCAAGGTACACCAAAAACTCCCAGCAAACCACCAAAATCATGGAATAGATTCTCTCTTACAGCCTCCACAAAGAATCAATTCACCAACACCTTGATTTCAGACTTCACCCTTAACACCTGTGAGAGAACAAATTTCTGTTATTTTAAGCCATCCAGTTTGGGGTACTTTTACATCAGCTCTAGGAAACTAATGCATAAGGTTAACATACAAAAGTCAACCGCTTCCTACATACCAGTAATGAACAACTGGAATTTGAAATGAAAAAAGGCAGTGCCACTTACATTACAAACAAATGACCTATCAGATATAATCTAACAAAACCCGTACAAGATCTGTTTGAAGAAAACTACAAACCTCTGATAAATGAAATCAAAGAACAACTAAATAAATGGGCACTCCCTGCTCATAGAGAAGAAGACTCGATACTGTCAGAGTGTCAGTTCTTCCCAACTCAATCTACAGATTCACTGAAGTCCAGTCAAAATCTCAGCAAACAATTTACATAGAAAAGCAAGTTTACATAGACGCAATAACCAACAAAATACTGAAGGAGAACAAAGTCAGAGGTCTGACACTACTAGACTCATAACCCCACATGAAGAAAGGGACTGGGCAACTCCGTGGAGTCTCTCTTTCTAACAGCCACCAAGCCCATTCCTGAGGCTCCACCTTTATGACTGAATCACCTCCCAGAGGCTCTAGAGGTTAGGACTTCCATGTATGAATTTGGGGGGCCATAAACATCCAGACCATTGCACAGGGTACTGGGAGCAGCTGTCTACACAGTAATTAATCTAGTCTGAAATGGGAAAGTGAGGGAAGGATGGCTACAGTGTATGTAGCTGAGGGAAAAGGAGACCCCAAGGATTTGGAATTGATCTTGAGAAATCAGAACAGAAACTGGCAAAGTATGGTCCACAAAGTCAAATCTAGCCCATTGACTATTTTTCTAAATAAAGTTTTACTGGAACATAGTCATCCACTTAAGTATTGCCTATGGCTGCTTTCATGCTACAAAGGCAGAGGTGAAATGTTGAGAAAGAGATCATATGGTTGGTCCACAGAACCTAAAATATTCACTCTCCATCCCTTTTCAAAAAAGAATTTGGTAACCCCTACATTAGAGGAATTTATGGATAAGATAAAACACATAGTGCAAGAAAAAGAAAACCATTAAAAGCTTCAGACGAAACAAAATGGTATACAAGAACACACATTTCTAGCACATTATAAGCAACGTAAACACAGTTTACTGATTTTGCCCTTTAAGATGAACCTACAAAGACATTTTCTGGTTTCAGAACACATTTAAATATTATCAACCGTCACAGTGTACAGTTAAACACAGTGATGCAGCGGCCAGGGGCTGGGGGGTGGCACAGAAGTGGGGACCGGCAGGCACAGGGGCCCGCTCCCACAGCACAACTACACACGGCACCGCCAGCACTGGCCACAGACCGAGAACACGGGAAGAAGGGTCATCTTCCACAGACTGTTAGCACCGGGGTGGGGGCGGAAGGGCCTGAGGCAGTCAGCGGTCAGCTACTGCGTAAAGCACTCACACCCATAAAAGGTGGTGTGTTTGTAGCGTGTGGAGACAAGAAAGTAACTCAAACAGGAAACAACTGCAGAAGTAAGCAGTGGCTGCCTCTGAGGCAAGGGCCACGGAGGGGACAGGGTGCTGTGACTTCTTATCACAAGCCTTTCACACGACTTTTTACATGTTATTACTTTAATAAACACTTTAATATTATAAAACAACCATGGAAAACGTGGACAGCAGGGGGAGAGAGCCACTGCCCCACCCCCATTCGCCTGAGCCCCCACTGGTAACCCAGCGTTTCTCCTTTCCTCCTCTGCACGCCTGCCCTTGAAGTGGCAATCAGCACACAAAGACGCTTCTCGATTTTTAAAAAAAAATTTTTTTTAATGTTTATTTATTTTTGAGCGAGAGAGAGACAGAGCATGAATGGGGGAGGGAGACACAGAAGCTGAAGCAGCTCCAGGCCCCGAGCTGTAAGCACAGAGCCCGAGGCGGGGCTCAAACTTACAAACTGTGAGATCATGACCGGAGCCGAAGTTGGCGTTTAACCAACTGAGCCACCCAGGCACCCCAGAAGTTTCTATCTTTTAGGTAAACAGTCTATCAACAGGCAAGTCTGAACAGCTTCTCTCAATGTTCAAATACCACTTCTGTTCATACCTTCCGACTCGCAAAACAGCTGGGGCGCTCTGCTTTGAGTCCAGTGATTCCTCCGATGCGAAATGCAGCCGGGATGCGTTCCGCTCACTCTCTCTCACAGGACGATCATCTAGGGAGAAAAATGCCAGAGAACTAGCAAATGCCACCAAGAAGCAGGTGACAGGCCCCCAACAACCCAGCCCCCCAGGGGCACCTCCTAGCTGCCTTGAAGCACATCACCTTCCCCTTGGGAATGGAGGTACCCCCATCACCCACCCTGCTGCACACTGCCTGGGACCAGCACTGCCTCCTATTGTTCAGGGACCTTCCATCCCCTGGAGCCAGCTCAGCCACAAGCATCCCCCGTTAAGTCCTGGGTAGACCCAGTAAAGGAATGCTGGGCTCTGGTGGCTCCATCTGGTTTTCCAGATGACAAACACCAATTCCAGGAGGGGCGGCCTGCTCCCGTAAAGCTAGTCCTCAGACACCACTGTGGAGGCCAGCTGTTGCCCATGGGAAAATACACATGCAAATTCGCACATGGGCACAGCCTTCTCGGCACGTCTACCTTCTTTCTACGCACATTCTCGGGACTGGAGGAGGTTCTGGAACCACACTGAGCACACCTGAGATGTCTCTGTGGATAAGAATTCTGAACAAGCTAAAGAGTAAATGCCGTGGCTGTGTGTCTGGGCCTAGGGTATGCATCCTCAGACTGGAGTTTCAACTGTCCCCACACATGAGCCCTGAGCCCCAGAAGGCCTCTACTCATTTGTTACTCCTGGGTCATACCTAAGAGTAAAATGGTTCCCAATATTGAAAGTCAATGCTTTGCAACTTTTAACACATCCTACCAGAGAACTAGTGTTACAAATAGCGGTTAAATTCCAAAGCTGCCTCCCAAAGAGCATTTAACTGAGGCACACCCCAAAAGCATACAACTACAACAGGGAGTAAATGAGTAACAGATCAATAATCACTTTCAAAGCAGAAAACAAAGGAACTGTGACAATCATACAGACGTGCTTCTGGGAGCTAGGCCCCTCTGCTTTCTGCACGTGGACTGAGAAACACAACTGCTTGACAGATGCCATCTCTCGTGGCGTGGACACTCGCTCAGGGCTGACACACAGCTCCACTCACTGAGCCTTCACTTCACTTTTGAGCCAGTTCCAAATCCCTTACTCTAATACTTCTCTGAATTGTTCTACGACACATTCAGACTCAATGGAGCTAAAACCAAATGCAAATGCACATTCACCCCAAATCTATACCCCTTCTGACTTTGCAACACTCTCCCAGACCCTGAGCCCCCACCACTGAGTCCCCAGATGCCCTCTCACTGTTCTCCTGCCCACATCCCTCCGGGGAAGGGGGGGCCTCACCTGCTCACCTGGAACCAGGGCAGCTCCAATCGTACTGGGGACCCCGTGAGGCAGAGTAAGCCTTCCAAGGGTTCTAGGACTCCCGCATGACCCTGACCTTCAACTGTGTTCCTTCTGCACATCTGAAAGTATCTTCCTTATATCCCTTCTCCACACAAACACTCTAGGATTCTGAAACTAAAACTTTTATAACAAAGGGAAAGTAATGATTTAAGACTAAAGATAGCAAACTTTTCCCATAATATGGACTGAAATGCCTCTGGAAAAAGAGTCAAATTCAACTATTTATAACTGGTGTAAAAACCCAGCACATATTCCTCCTAAATATCTAAAAGTTAAACATCGAAATTCTAAGTAGGCTTGAAACTAATCAATGTGCTAATGGGGATTGGTCAAAGATACCCACAGAGGGACACCCACTCCCAACCCTGGGCCCAGGCAGGTACGGCCCAGCAGAACAGCCAGGCTCCCCAGAGCCCATCATCCACAGTGCAGAGGGAGCACCTGGAGGTAATCAGCACATACTTGTGTAGCAAGGTGTTCATGAAAGAATCTACACACAGCCTGTGGGTTTGCCACTGGATGCTGCCAGGATAGTGGCCACGGTAGGCCCATAGCTCAGTAACTAACACACGGAATAACAGAGGACCAACGTCTTCCCTGACAAGTGCTGCTGTGATTTGGGTTTTACTTTGGTTTTGGTAGGTCAGCACTGGGGAGATCGAGACACCCAAATTCCCCCCAGCTTCACCAAGCAGGGCACTGGCCCTCAGGATTAAGGACATGCTGATCACTGGGGACAGAGAAGAACACTGCCCCTCAAGCAGACATTCCCACACCTCTACCACCCGGGACTTGGGCCCCTTCACAGAAGAGGACTGAGTGTCCGAAGCTCCTTCTCCATGCTCTGCATGCCCTGAGGCTCATACTCCAGCTCTCTCCTTGGAGGTGCAAGGTGGGGGCGGGGGGGGAGGGTGGCGCGTGGCATCAGCAGTTCACCGGCCACAATGCTCGGCCACAAAGACAACTCCTGGTATCCGGGCAGGTGGGTGGTTAAGGTGTCACTATGGATGGCTTCCCCAAGCATGACCCTCCAAGCTGCTAGGGTCACTGGGCACTCTGGGAGCTCTGCCTGCAAGCCTGACACAAAGATCTGTTTCTTTTAGGGATACGGGTTACTAAGCCAGTGGGTAGCTGTACCCACCGAGAGGACCTCACCCTCTCCCATCCCTATCACCTGGGGAAAGGGAGGGCACAGGAACCTCTCTTCCTATATCCTTCCAGGCAGATGTGAAACCAGCTAAGATCCAACTGCCTTGCTGAGCCTGAGATGAAGCCCGGGGAGTCATGCACAGAAATGGCACCGGGCATTCAGAGAGTATGTCCAAGCCAATCAGCAGGAAGTGGAGGGCCCGAAAGGGACAGAGAAGCCTGGCTCATACCGGCGCTCATGGTCTCCCCGGCAGGCGCCTGTGGCCAGAGCTCCTGGCCATCCTCCCAGGCAGCGGCTCCCACAAGACTCACACTGGGAAACGCACAGACTCAAGCAGGGGAGAAGAAGGTCAACTTCTGAGAGCACAAAACACCTCTCAGTGCTCCCATGAGCAACAGTATGAGCACAGCTGTGGCGCCTACCCAGCTGCCTGAGCTTCGGGAGCATGTGCACGACAAAAAGGCGGTAATCAGATTCGTTCTTCACCACAGGGTTCAGCCGAAAGTCCACGTCTGTGAGCTCCGTCAAGGAGTGGAGCCGAAGCACTTCAGCTAATGAGGAGATGCAGTTGTAGTAGAGATTGAGACTTTCCAGTGCAGTCAGGAACTGAATGCCCTGCCAACGGGGCAAAACCTAGCATCAGTTTATACTTTCAAAAATGAACAGTGAGATGGGCCATCAATACGAACCAATACCAACCTCATAAAGCACCGGCAGGGACTACATGCCACCGCCAAGAGCAGCACCAAGATGGAATGTGCTCCACGCCACGCAGGTTTGAAACGTCACATCTGCAGAAGTGCTGACCATGGAGGACAGCCCGTATCTACGGAGTTCTCACAGTTTCATTTAATCCGCACACAGCCCCACACACTAAGAACTGTTACTGCTCCCACTCTACAGCATAGAAACAGCCTGGGGGGGTTGAGCAAGGAGCCAGCCCTGGGTGGTGTATCCTGGACTGAAACTCCTGGGTGATGCCGACCAGGGTCTGGGCTCTCTCTATAATATGAGGCAGGAGCCCCCTCTCCAGAAGTCATGAGCGGTGTTTACACAACCCCCCACCTGCCATCACCTGGGTGATTTCTCACCTGCTCACCAGGACCAAGGGCTTACCAGGATGTCACCAAGAGTCAGATTATAAACAGATGTGAAGTGCAAAATGCGAATTAAAAAAACAAACCTGAGACAAGGATGGACAGTGACCAGCACACAAACACTAGTCTTTCAGGCCTTATTTTATTTCCTTTAAAGATACAACCATCTTCATCAGAGATGGGAGTTTTGGTTGTCAAAGTAGTTTAAAGGTATAATGAGATGTGTAAGAAATCTATAGCTCGGGCGCCTGGGTGGCTCAGTCGGTTAAGTGTCTTGACTTCAGCTCAGGTCAGGTTTCTGGGTTCGAGCCCCGCATCAGGCTCTATGCTGACAGCTAGTTCAGAGCTGGTGCCTGCTTCAGATTCTGTGTCTCCCTCTCTCTTTGACCCTCCCCTGCTCATGCTGTCTCTATCTCTCTCTCAAAAATAAATAAAATATTAAAATAAAAAAAAAGAAATCTATAGCTCACAACAATGAACACAAGAAAAACAATGCAATATTTGCAACCATTGTTTAGTGTACAATCTACATATATGATAAGCACAACTATAAAACATACTGTATTGTTACTATAAATATACTTTCTACTGCTACTGATAGCAATAAAATTTCTTTTAAGAAACAAACCTAAAACTTACCTCTAGACTCACCAAAGAGTTGCGTGAGAGGTCTAAAGATTTTAAGCCTGTTAAATTCATCAAAGAATTTCCTAGGTGAGTAATCTTTTCTTGGTAAGTTCCAGGAATTGATAATGACCGAAGTTCAGCTAAGAATAAAAAAATCACGAGATTTTAACCTTCCTTTTCAGTGAAAATGTATTACTGTAATAAGAATGACCTACAGCAGCCTTAGAATCTGAAAAAGTCACAAAAACAATACAACTCCAAGTGTGATACTGATACTACAGGAGAGAACCACATGCAGGGTTTCGGCTCACGTTCACCTCCAAACCTGCAGGCCCATGAACGCCCTGCTCCCCACCCCCTGCTTCTCCCCTCAGACGCTCTCCCACCAGGACTGCCCTCCTAACTGGGCTCCCACTTTGACTCCTGGCTGCTTCACTCTGCCACCTGCACATTCCCCACGCAGGGATCGCAGTCTGGAGCCCAATGGTCAGCCAACCTGATGACTCCACGCCGTTACACGCGAGGACACAGAGTGTGCCCTACACGCCATATGCCTCTCTGTGGCACAGTCAACAAGCAGCCATTAAATGAATGTTGCTACAAAAATAAGTTTCAGTAATCAAAAAGACAGTCTGGGCCCGAGCACACTAGTACTTTCTCAGGAAGAGTTGTGTTTTAAAACATATCTTAATTAAATTTAAAACTGATCTGGGGGCTTCCATTTCCAGACAAGACACAGTAGACCCATCCACCCTACTCCCACTCAGGTACTGCACCCAGAACAATATATGAAACCAGCGCCAGACAAGTCTGGAGGGTGGGGAACAGAAGGCCAACTGTCTAGGGACTCAAGGAAACAGTCCAGCAGTGCGGGCCCTATGCTGGTTTGGCATCTGTTTTGTCTCCCTTATGTCCCCATATGAGTGCCAAAGAAGCTGGCGACATACAGGGGCGCCTGGGTGGCTTAGTCGGTTAAGCGTCCGACTTTCGCTTAGGTCATGATCTCGCGGTTCGTGGGTTCGAGCCCCGCGTCAGGCTCTGTGCTGACTGCCAGCTCAGAGCCTGGAGCCTGTTTCAGAGTCTGTGTCTCCCTCTCTCTCTGACCCTCCCCTGCTCATGCTGTCTCTCTCTCACTCCTAGAAATAAATAAAAATATTTTAAAAAATTAGCAATACAATAAAATCTAAATTGAAGCTACAATTTACATATTAACCAATGCAAAATTCTCTCCAAAATTTAACTTCACAGAATGCTCAAAAACTCACCTTTATTCAAGGATAATAGATTNCAGAGTCTGTGTCTCCCTCTCTCTCTGACCCTCCCCTGCTCATGCTGTCTCTCTCTCACTCCTAGAAATAAATAAAAATATTAAAAAAAAAAAAAAAACAAAAGAAGCTGGCGACATACAAATACCACGGACACTGACTGAAAAATAAGGATAAGACTGCTGCCCATGGTAGAAGGACCAGGAAGGGGTGGTCTTGGAGGACAGACTCCTGACATCAGCCCCACTCAGCTCAACAGCCAGCAAAAAAAAAAAAAAAAGAAAAAGAAAAAAAATCCACCACACACGTGGCCTTGCACAGTGGCCAGCCCTGGGACGGGTGAGAGGACGCTGACTACCACCAGGGCTGCAAGGAGGTGGCCCACAGGCATCTACAGAGGCCGTGTGGGTGACAGGAGCCTGGCCACTACCTCAGCCACAAGGCAGTGCCCACTCAGTGCCAAGAATGTGTCACAAGATTCAAATAAGAAACAGAGACTCTCAGGACCCAAAATGTCCATGACACAATAAAAAAATGACCAAAACCTGAAAAAAATCTCAATTTAAATAGAAAAACAATCAACCCCAACACTGAGATGACAGAAGTCATAATTATTTAACAAAGAATTTTAAAGCAATACTTTAATGAACAATTATGAACACTCTTGAAACAAATGATAAGATAGGAAGTCTTGGCAAAAAAACCCCCATAAGATTTAATAAGAAAAAATAGAAAGTTCAGAAACATAAAATACAATAACCAAAGCAAAATTACCATAAGAAGCAGCTTAGTAAACAGCATGGAGATAACAGAAGAAAAAAATTCACAGGGAATGCAAAGACAGATTGATCAAAATTGTCCTATCTGACCAGCAGAGAGAAAACAAGACTTAAAAAAGAAGTGAAAGAATGAATGAACAGAGCCTCAGGGGCCCATGGAAAAAGGAATTTAACACTTTTGTCATGAGTCCCCATGCAATCCCAATTAGAGTTCCAGAAAGAGAACGATAGTATGACTAAGAAAAAAATGTTCAACAATTACAGAAATAATGGCTGAAAATTTACCAAATTTGGCAAAAGACATCAAGCTACATATTCAAGAAGCTGAGAAAACCTCAAACAGAATAAAGACTAAGAAAAGAAAAAAAAAGAAAAAGCCATGCCCAGATACATCAGAAATAAACTTCTAAAATCTAAAAACAGTGAAAGAGGGGCACCAAGGTGGCTCAGTTGGTTAAGCGTCCGACTTCGGCTCAGGTTATGATGTCATGGCTTGTGGGTTCAAGCCCTGCATTGGGCTCTGTGCGGATAGCTCAGAGCCTGGAGCCTGCTTCAGACTCTGTGTCTCCCCCTCTCTCTGCCCCTCCATGCTCACGCTCTGTCTCTCTCAAAAATAAACATTAAAAAAAAATTAAAAACAGGGGCGCCTGGGTGGCTCACTCCGTTAAATGTCCAGCTTTGGCTCAGGTCATGATCTCACGGTTCGTGGGTTCGAGCCCTGTCTCAGGCTCTGTGCTGATACCCAGCTCAGAGCCTGGAGCCTGTTTCGGATTCTGTGTCTCCCTCTCTCTCTGACCCTCCCCTGCTCACACTGTCTCTCTCTTTCTCTCAGAAATAAATAAAAAACATAAAAAAATTTTTTCAAAGAAAAAGGGAATGAACAGAAAACAAATAATAAAATGGCATACTTCCAACTAGCCTACATTAACAATTCCATTAAATGTAAATGGTCTAAACACACTATAAAAGAGACTGGCAGAGTAAATAAAAATGAACCCACTATATACTGTCTACAAGAATCTCATTGCAAAGATAATGATATAGGTAAGCTTAAAGATTACAGAGTAAATAGGAAAGATGTGCCCTGCAAACATGAATCAAAAGAGCTGCAGTGGCTACACTAGTTGATGTCTCAACATAGAAAATTATTAGGGGCAAAGAGTAACGGTACATATGTTACAAGGGTCACCCCAAATCCCAAATATGTAGGCATAGCTCCAAAACATATGAAGTGAAACAGAAATAGACAAATCCACAATTACAGTTACGGACTTCGACACTCCCCTCACGGCAACTAATACAATCAGTAGACAGAAAAATCAACAAAGAGGGGCACCTGGGTGGCTCAGTTGGTTGAGCTTCCGACTTCGGCTCAGGTCATGATCTCACTGTTGGTGAGTTCGAGCCCCGCGTCGGGCTCTGTGCTGACAGCTCAGAGCCTGGAGCTGCTTCAGATTCTGTGTCTCCCTCTCTCTCTGACCCTCCCCTGCTCATGTGCGCTCTCTCTCTAAGAAATAAATAAAACATTAAAAAAAAATTTTTTTTTTAAAGAAAAAGAAAAATCAACAAAGATACAGAAGAATTGAACATCATCAGCAGCCAATAGGATCTAATTGATGTTTACATAACACTCCACTCAACAACAGAGTACACATCTTTTCTGGTGCACTTGGAACATTCACCAATACAAACCAGATCCTGGACCAAAATCACACCTCAACAAATTTAAAAGAATTAAAATCATAGAGTATATACTCTGACCATAATGGAATCACACTACAATCAATAACAAAAGGGAAAAAGAAGAGAAAATCTCCAAACACACAATGAGAAAACACACTCCCACACAATCCACAGGTCAAAGAAGTCTCCAGGAAAACCTAAAAATGCACTTTAATAAAATGAAAGTATAACAAAATTTGTGAATGCAGCTAACGCTGTGCTTAGAGTAAAATTTACATCACTAAATTAAAAAGTATCAAATCAATAATCTAAATCTCATCTCCAGAATCTACAAGAGAAGAGTAAAATAAATGCAAAGTGAGCAGATGAAAGGAAATAATAAAGAAAAGAATAAATAAAACTTGAAACTAGCAAACAATGGGGAAAAACCCATCAAACCGAAAGCTGACTCACTGAAAAGGTTAATACAATTGACAAACCTTTACCAAGTCTAAAATCAAAGACGTAAATGCAAAATCAAGAATGGAAGAAAGGTTACCACCATGGACACCAAACATTTACCAGGCTGGTAAGGGAGCAAACAGCCCTACACACGTAAGTTCAACAACTTCCACGACAATGTCAATTTTACAAACCCCAGTCATAATTCAATCACAACTCCCAATAATAAGAATAGTTTTTACAACAAACAGAGAAACTGAATGTGTCATTTAAAAGCTTCAAATACCGGGGCACCCAGTGGCCTCGGTCCTGATCTCAGGGTTTGCGAGGCTGCTGTAGGTGCAGAGCTTGCTTCCCATCCTCTGTCCCCCTCCCCCCCCTCAGAAATAAACATTAAAAAAAAATCTTCAAGGCCTATGTGGTTTCTGTGGAAAATTCCAACAAGGAAGACTCAGCACCACTTCTACACAACCTCTTGTAGAATACACACGAGGAAGCAACACTTTCCAACGTATTTCAGGTGCTGAGCTTCAGGCTGATGCCAAAACCTGAGAAAAACGGGACAGAAAGAAAACCCGTGACCCAAGTCCCCATGATCCCCATGAACATACATACAAAAATCGGAGACCAAGAACACAACAGAGTTGTGCAGCCGGAGCGGAGGGCACGTTTTCCCCGGAAGAAGACTGCGGGTTCCAGTTGTTTTAAAAGCCAACCTCAAACCACCTTACTTACGGGTGAAAGAACACCCCCCCACCACACTGGGACCCCCGCCCCCCTCGCGTACCCCCCCCCCGCCCCGACCTCACTGGGACGCCCGCCCCCTCGGGTCCCCCCCGCCCCCCTCGGGTCCCCGCCGCCCCCACCACACTGGGACCCCGCCCCCCTCGGGTCCCCCCCCCGCCCCGACCTCACTGGGACGCCAGCCCCCCTCGGGTGCCCCCCGTCCCGACCTCACTGGG